CCACGTCACCCTATCGTTGCCAGTTATTGTGTTGCACTGTGAGAGGATATAGCGGCTCACTGGCGCGTGGCACCAACCTTTCTTTCCCAAGCTTCTCTCTTTGGCCCGGTCTTGTGGTGCTGGTCATCCCGCCTCGCAAGCCTCAGCTGTGGCAACCGCCCTCACCCCTCCCCTCTTCCCCCTCTTCCCCCTCTTCCCAAGCTATTGGTGAAAAAGCAAAGTTGCAATCTTATTGATCAAGTTTTTGGCTGATGGAAATCGGGCAACTTCCATCTCCCCTACTAGGAAATCAGCGGCGATATGACATTTTTTCCCTTTTTTTTTTTTTTTTTAATCTAATCAGGCTACGTACGGATATGGATACAAGAGGCGGCCATTAAGAAACAACTGGTACGGCGAAGCGTCGGCCTTGGATTTGGGGGCTGGTCCATGCTGTGATGCTCAAACGAGTTTCCGTAAACGGCAATCTCCTCGCGAAGGCAGATTGGTAATGGGAGTTGAGACTACACTTGTTTGGTGCGAGTACAGATTACAGTCAACTGGCAAGACAGCCCGCCGGGGTTTAGGGCGGCGCATCCGTCGGAGCCGGAGCGGCAGAGGCGCGAGTTCTATTGGGCAAGGCTGCGACGTCGACCACGGCGCCTTGCCTTTACTCCGAGTGGGCGACCTAATATTCCTGCCGACTCCTGCCATTATCATTAGTAAAGACTTAGAGATGTGACTTTTCGTGGGGAATCCGAGGAAATTGCAAATGGACAGTACCAATACTCCGGTCTGACACACACACAGTGATGGGCAAAATAACCACACACACACACACACACACACACACAATTTATTACTCCGTCCACACATTTGGTTACCATATCCTTGTTGCGGTCACTTGATTCGCTGCAGCTCTCTGTACGCCACAACTACAACAAGGCTTGCAGACGCGCTGGTGTGGTCCGTCCCCTTGGCCCTTCCCCATCAAATCTGTACTGAGGATCCATCGACTGAGGCGAGATGGCAAAAGTCTTGTCCAGGGAACGGGGACCGCTCGGTCAATCGCCAATCCCTACTAACATCAAGTTGTAATTTTTTATCCGAGTGGCTTTTTTTGCATTGCACGAATAGAAACTTTTGGACGACCCCTTGGCCGTTGCGCCCTTGTTAGTGCCAACTGTCGGTGAAGCTGTCCCTGAGGTCTCCGCCGATTTGGGGAGCTCCCTCTCTCTTTTTGCCAAATGTGAAATAAACTGGTGGATCTTCCTGCCCACTGCTTTTTTGCCTCCAGTACAGATACACGACGCCAAGGCAGGCCGGCAGGCTGTGGACCGCACTGTGACGGATAGCTTGATCATGTTTCTAAATTACGGGCCGAACAGGCCTGGTGCTGCTTAAAAGGAAAAAGTCCGATAAACGACCAAAACCGTGGCAATGACGTTTTGGGGAGAGCCTTGGCCCTCCGACTTCTCCCATTTGTGCGTCTTGTACGACACACATGCAATTCGTGCATCTCCGTTACTTTTTTCTGCCCATGTCGAATATCCCTCCCCCTCCTCCCCCGACATGCATCGGGGATTGCTACCAGTATGAACAAGAAAAAACAAGAGCAAGCCATACAAGGGTAAGTCCGGTTGGAGAGACGTGTCCTAAAAAAAGATGTCTGGGAGGGGCAATGGAGACCCAGCTCGCATGGCAGACGCATGTCTTACAGCCATCTGGTGCATTATGGGGGCCAGTCCTGAAGACAAGAGGAAAATGCATTCCCCCCCCCATCATAATAAAGTACAGGCGTAAGTAGATGCAAGAGAGCAAGGTACATACACGGCATGGGTTGGCGGGGAGTGAGATGCCACCAATCCGGCCGCCTTGGTCACCCAAAAGAGGGGGGCGCGTCTCGAATCATTTGCCCAAATCTGTCTCGTTTACAAAAGCCAACTTGGGCTTGGGAGGGGAGATGAGGCCGGCATGGCGGCTGTTTTTGTCCGTCGCGGGTTATTGCGGGTTTATTGTCTTTGGACTGCTAACTAACGAGAAGCAACAACAGCAGACTTATTAGTTAGAGGAGGCAGTTGCCTACCAACCTAGGCAACATTCGGTACAACTTGATGCCCGGATTACTGGCACTAACAACATAAAGACGTTGGAGGTGAGTAACTTGCTAACGCATAGACTAGATAACAATGGGCTGTTGTGGTAGTTTAGTAAGTGACATATGTACCTGCTAGTAGAACACCACTGACCGGCCTGTGCCATCTCGCACGGGTGGGTGATACTGCTTGTTCTTGTGAGAATAAACGAAGTGACATGGGCCACTGAAAGATACAAAACAGGTGGCAGACAGGAGGCGCCGGGAGGGACAGGCAAGGAGCTCCCCGATCACTGGGAGAGGTGGCTAGGGACGCTGGTCGCCGCCACACCCCTATCGTCATAGTGCCTGGGGCGAGGCAGGGCGTCGCGCAAGCGGCGGCGTCTTGGAAAAAATGATCCAAGTATATTCAACTCAAAGACACAGGTGTCAGTCCTCTGCATCCTTGCATTGAGAGGGGGCCCTTATACATGAGAGACCGCATCAAGTCACAACTACCGACATTTAAGAGACACTGTATTGCTAGACAAAGAGGACGCGGAAACGACGTCACGGGCAGCAGCAACAGCGTGTACCATGACGATGGCAATCTGTAACTGAAAAGAAAGTGGACTGAGACGACGTCGAGATGGCGAGCTTGCTTTGCTGGTGGAGGATGGGGGCCTTGGGGTTTGCCTGCCGGCACCAAGAAATATAACAACGTCAAAATGGACAGGGAGGGTCGCTAAAAACCCACTGGGGAATTTTGGCTCTTGTCATGTCTAGATGGATGCATTTTCCTTGCTCCCAGTCAGGTAAAGGGTTGCTTTCCGAAGTCCCTCTCCACTCATTTGGCTTTTCAATCATGCCAGTGCTTTTAGTCCAAAAGATCAAGTCATGCAACGGGCTAAATATGAAGTGAAGAAGGGTGTGCTAGTTTTACGTGGTCGAGTTGCTGGGAAATACCCAACTTGAGGATTAGCATCGAAATAGACGAACCACTCACTTTTGTGTGTGACCGGGGGGTCGGGCCACTTCATCAAGTCGCACCCAGGCATGGATGGCATCAGAGCATGTCACCCCGACTCACCCGCCAATTCCGCCCATGGGCAGATGGGGCAGAAATAGGGTCATCTTCCCATCAAATCGCACTTCCTCTCTCATTCTCCAGGGAAACGGCGCTGTAGAGCTCCCGACAAGTACTAGCACGGGGCGAACGAACTGGAGATGGCATCCTGCTTCACACCATCTTTTCTGTACGTCTCTTTTTGCCTTTCCTCCCACTTGCCTTGCCGTCTCACTTCGAGGTTATCAAAGTCCCCGTACCGGCTACAACCGACGAGTCACTGGGGATGCGGACCAAGTTTAGTTTCTCTAGTTGACAGAAACTCGCAGCGCTTGCCTTTCCACTGGGGCGGCGCATTTCATGACGGGAGGGCGTTGAAAGTATTTATTTTAGCTTCCCCCGGTCTTTTCGCTCGGTGACTACCCAACTCAGTCGGTGACTCCTCTCTCTGCGAACGCGCTCGCCCGACGTCTGCCTGGCGGAGGCGCCCGGAGTTTGTGGTGTTATTCCTTCATGCACGGCGAGTTCGGAAAAGTCGTTCTAGAAGGAAAAGAAAGCCAAAAAAAAAAGCAATAAAAACAATAAAAACGCGGAGTGGCCGTGAGCACTCTATCTCTGCTGCATCCTGTCCCCATACCAAAGTAGATAGACAGGCAGAAAGTCTTGCAAGGTAAGCCGGCAAGTAACCCACCAAAAACTCTCTTGCACCGTCCACTTCATCGCAATACAACCTCTCATATTCACAGTACAGATTACTGGTACACCCACCGCGCAACCACCCCAGTCTAACCTGTGCCTACCTCACTCCGTACCAGTATCGTAGCGCCAGCACTAGACAACCGGTACACACCCCTCCCCGGTTGGCTTCTTGATTTGCTCTGGGGCTTGGGCCAAGCGGTCCCCCCCTCTTCCCGGGGGGAGGGACCAGTGGTCCATGTCTCTTCGTCTAACTATCCCGTCCCTCGCAACAACAACGCTCACACCCCTCCCACTCAGGGAGGTGTGTGAGTAAACGCGGAAAGGCTGCCTTGTCCTCCCACCCGCCTCGCTCTTCCCTCTGCCTACCTACCTATCTACCATGTAACTAGTGAATTAACCCTGGGTGTTGCTTTTAACTACGCCTGTTTTCTTTTTGCGTCCTGGTCCTTGCTTATGTGAAGCCAAAGTACAATTTTCTGTAGTCACTGACTAGCATCTCGTCTTTTTCTGACCACCCCCCTCCTTCCTCCCCTCCCCTCCCCTCCCCTACCAACAACAAGCAGATCCGCTCCTTGTCCGTCCTGCATAGCTTCGGGTCTATATCTACGTCGAAGCCCCCAACCCGCATCATCCCGCAGCCTTCTTTACGCACTTTCAACTCTGGGTTTCCAATCTTTTTACGATTCGATACCCTTATTATACCACGCTACGACACTCAGCTCGCATCTTGTTTTGCCGAACTATCCTGCTTCGACTTACAAGCTCACACCTTCTCATTGCACTCATCCTGCCCTCCTCTACGCCCCTTGCCACGACCGTTGCGCCGACACTCGCTCTTCTCCGTCCTATTCTAGACAATACACAATCTAGAACAGACTACCGCCCAATAGAAGCATTCCTACGCGTCTGGATTCAGCGCCATTTACACCAATCCGCCAACATCACAAATCGTTCGACTGCCCAGACGAGACAACGTATTGTGGAATGCGATAGATTTGCGCCTTGTCTCAAGACTCCCCTTCCCTTTTCCACCCGCCTCTGGCCAAGTCGTATTCGAGAGCTCTCTTTTTGAGGCTCGGCAGAAGAACCAGGGTTCCGAGAGGCTGATTGCGACTTCCCAAAGCAAACCCGCAAATAACGGCCTCCCCCAAAGCCTCACACACCACTCACAACTTCTCCGCCATGACTGAACAAACTTTCACCATGTTCCTCCAACAGGACGAAAAGGACATGACGCGGTACTCAGAGCACGCCTCCCACGGCATCGCCTTCACTTCAGGTCCGATGGACATGGGCATCCCCGCCGACGCCTACGGCGCGTATGCCGGTTCCCTCGCGACCACCATGGGCGGCCTCGAGCAGACCATGTATGGAGCCGATGGCGGTGTCCCCAACTACATCCTCAACGCCAGCCGCACTTCCCCGAGCACATACCCGGACGACGGAGACATGAGACTGTCGTCGTCGGGCCTGTCGACGGCCTCGGCGCCATCCGCGCCGTCCTCGGTCGTCGGATCGCCTCAGTCGCATACCGGCGGCCACCTGGGCGTTCCCGAGTGGGCGACGATGCAGCCGAGCATCGTCGGCGATTACATGACCGGAGGCGACTACCCGACGTTTTCGAGCTCTAATATGGATGATCTCTCGACATTTGACTTTACACATGCCAAGACCTTTGTTGGTGAGTTTTTCTCTTTTTTTTTTTTCTCTTTTCTTTTCTGTTTCATTTTTTGCATGCTTTGCTCGTCGTGATCCGCACACAAAGTGTCAGCTCCTTTTCCCTGCCCATTCGTTCGTTCATCTGGTTTCTTATTGAATTCCTCGGCACCTTTCTCAAGCGAGACATCCCCGGAGAGGAGACGGGACGGGAATGACGTGCCTTGCGCAGATGGATGGGAAATGCAGCGCCGAGGCAGCGTCGGTCTCTGTCCAATGGTGGGTTCTGCTTCTGATGCAAGGCAACGCGGGTCGCTCAGGTCGGCCTAGCGCACATCGCCGAGCAAGACCCGCTTGCCCCGGCCTTGAGTTCAGCTGGCCACTTGCACAGCCAACGAAGACGAAGGAGCCGGTACTGGTCGCAACGGCAGGAGCGATCGACCAGTACAAACGTGCGCTGCAATGCCCTGCACAGCAAAGCACAGCACAGCCAGCCTGTGCCACACAGTTCGTTCACTTCTCGGAGGCCACCAGCCCAGCACCGCTCGCCACACCACACCACTGCATCGGCAACCACCACTCAGCACCCACCACCCACCATCCCCCATCATCATCCTGGCCCGCTGAGAGCTCCCTCCTGCAGCGCCATTTCTGATGACTGCAGCGCAAATCTTCAGCCCGCCTCCGGCCTGCATCCAGCGCTCTACCTTCTTCCATCCATCGTCATCAACCTTTCTGCTTTTTCATATAACCTCACTTCCATCATCTATCTCCACTCTTGCTCCCCCTTTCCATCTTGTCCTACCTATACCCTCCTGGTCTCTTCATTCCCTCCCCAGCATCTGTCCTATCACAAGAGGAGCGTCGGTTCATTTATCCAACCGAGACATTGCTGTGGCTGCCATCAGTCTATCCATTTGCCCACCAAAGTTAGCGCCCCAATTACCCGCTCCATCAACCACGCCTTCGCCCTCTCTTGCCCATATCTAGCTCGGCCCTCTCGAGCCCCTCTCCCTCGCTGGAAGCTCCAGCCACGTCCACAACGCTGGCGCCACCGTTGAACCTTGAATTTTTCATTCCTCATTAGTCCTATTGCCCATCATCACAGACGTTGCTGCACAATCCTCTCGAGCAAAGCTTTTCTTTTACCGTCAATTCGCGCCGCACTCCGGTGCTCTGCCGTGGCAGCTTTTACTGACAAGATGAACCCGGTTCCTCCAGATCCCTCGCTGATCCACCCGGATATTGGACAGCCCAACCCAATGTCCTTTTCGCCATATGATGCCGGCTTCCACCAGCCCGTTCACCCGTATCCTGCGTCGCCCTCTCTCGCCGCCTCGCCACAACCCTCGATGATGCGCACAAGCTCCTCTTCACCTTATCTCCACAACGGCTCTTTCCAGACCGGCTTCGCTCAGAGCCCTTACGGCACGCCCATGGACCCCACCGGTCGCCGCCAGAGCATGGTCGGCCCCGGCTTCATCTCGCCGGGCTCTGCCGAGTATCCCTCCGGCGACGAGAACAAGGAGCGCCAGCGCTGCACCTATCCCGACTGTGGCAAGGTTTTCAAGGACCTCAAGGCGCACATGCTCACCCACCAGACTGAGCGTCCCGAGAAGTGCCCTATTCAGACCTGCGAGTACCACGTCAAGGGCTTTGCGCGCAAGTACGACAAGAACCGCCACACATTGACCCATTATAAGGGTACCATGGTCTGCGGTTTCTGCCCTGGCTCTGGCTCGGCCGCCGAGAAGTCCTTCAACCGCGCCGACGTTTTCAAGCGCCATCTGACAACGGTCCACGGCGTCGAGCAGACGCCGCCCAACTCCCGCAAGAAGGCCCCCACCGCCGTTAACCCCGGCAAGAAGCTTACTGGTTACGCTCCTGATGCTACCGGCAAGTGCAGCACTTGCTCCCAGACCTTCTCCAACGCCCAAGACTTCTACGAGCATCTGGACGACTGTGTTCTACGCATTGTTCAGCAGGAGGACCCCGCCGAGGCCATCAACGCACAGCGCCTTGCCGAGGTGGAGAATGACAGCAGCGTTCACCAGACTCTGGAGAAGAACAATCTGCCCACTACGACTCCCACGAACCAGTCTACCCCTGGCGAGGATGACGACGAGGACGATGATATGGAGGATGATGGTGAGGACCGCCTCAACTCATCACCCAAGAAGAAGCTTGCACTTGTGAACGGTGTTTCCAAGTCGCGTGGCTTGACCCATTCCCGCGGCGGTGTCCCTCTCATTGGCAAGACACGTGGTCGCAAGAACCGCAAAGATTACCCTTCCTCTTGGGGCTTCGACAAGGGTCAAATGACCATGAAGAAGCGCATCATGGCCGTCTTTGATGGCGGCCGTCGCTTGGCCAAGGATGACCTGATGCTTTCCACCGACCGCGAGGTCCGCCTCAAGCTCTCGGATGGCAAATCCTACGTCACCGACCTCGACGTGCAGACCATGAAGCGCGCCGAAGGTTTCCTCAACGCCACCGACGATGAAAAGGGTCCTTGGGTCTCCGATGACCCTACTGAGGAGCAGATTCTCGAGATGCAGAGGGTGCAGGAAATCCTCAGCACCCCCGAGACCACCACAGACGCCGCTTCCGCTTCTTCGTGAAGTCATGCTGAATGATCAAAAAGCGGAATGTTATGACTTGCTGTGTGCCTCTGCCCCTTCCCGTACACGATTTTTCGAGGGCGATTTGCCGGACTTCACGTTTTCGGCAAGTTTTCGGGCTTTACAAATGCATTGCGATCAGGCGTACCCGAGTTTGTTTTTACATGACATGAAGGAAATATTGGGAAGAAATGTTTTATAATGGGGAACATGTGTTTGTTCCAACCTTTTTTGCTGCAAGAGTCGAATCGGCTTTGCAGCGCGCTTTCCTGGGAGAAGAAAGGCCAGTGCCGTGGATTGATTGATACCCTGCTCTCGTTGTTTGTCATCTGCGTTGTTCTTTTTAGCGGATTTCTCTGCATGCTGTTTTTTGATGGAACAGACGGTTGGCGTTTATTTTGCTTAATCTCGGTTTGTTACAATCTTGGGTTAAAAGGGCCAAGGGTGTCAGTTTCCCCTCCCCTCCACCTCGGCTGGGTATCCAGTCTCGGATTTTATATTCAGTTCAATTTTTTGAATAATTTTGCTTGTTAATACAACTCATCTCAAAGCAAATACTTTGGAAGCCTGTGTCTCGTTGTGATTGCGGTAGTATCACATGTGATTGTGTGGCCACGATGCCCTGCAAGTGGCCGGTGATATGAGTTGAGGCGGTGTCGGAATTGGACCTCGGGTTCCGATATATCCATCGTTTTGTGGCGCCTTTGCGTATCCGTGATACCGTTACCTGCCCAAACCTCACTTGGAGGAGTACTGCAGCAAGCAAAAACGAAGAACGCGAATCTCAATGTCAACTTCAAGGATGGAGCGGAAGGGAAAGAGGGCGGGGGGAAGCAGCTCATCTTATACCCCATTTCACAAGATCTAGAACCCTCCCCCTCTGGAGAACCAAAAGCCACACAAAGTCAAGTGCCGAGACGCCCAGCTGAGAGGATAAAGAAGAAGCTGAAACCATCAAACAAGACCAAGTTATGAAAGATGGAGAGGCTAACAAGTGGTGTGCGTCGCGGTCGTCTTTTCTTCTCGCAGAGTGCATGAAACGGGCATGGGGCCAAAGCTGCCACTTTGTCGCAATACGACGAGCAGCCAACAACCCAAAGTGTCTCAGTTCCGATAAAATGCGTGGGCAGTTTATCTTACCCCAGAAAATTGGCGTTGCGGCTGAATCGTCCCACGCCCGCGCTCATCCCACTCTCGAACCCTTTCTTACCTCGGTGATTGCGATGTTTCGTCCAAGTTGTTTGGTAACTTTCTTATAGCAGCTTTGCTCTTCCTTTGCCTGTTCAACAAAGAAATAGAAAAAAAAGGACGACCTCTCTTTTGCGGCAAGAAATGCCAAGTCTTTCACCTCATTTGGGCGGTCCGTAGTTGTCCTGTCTCCGTCCGATAGTGGTAACGGCGTTGGTCGTCTTGCCGGCCGCGAAGGGGAAATGCGGCTGTCTGTCATGTGTCTTGGCATTTCTCATGGCTGCGATAGGTCTCTCTACAATAACCTCATTCAGCTCTGTCCGCCACAGTGGCTCGCGAAACGGAGTGGCTTCCCTCCCCCGTTCGCAGCAATGACGTGACTTGCTGACTCGCAAAACCACTATCACTTATTCGTCATTCGTGAGCAAGATGAACGACAACGTAGTCATTTGTTTGATGAGAATATTGTTCACAATTCAAATATATTGGCGCTACATGTACATTGCCCATCATGATTCGTTCAGAGAACGAGACTCGGCGAGCTCAGGCAGCCTCGGCCGGCTGTTCCGCCTCCGTCATCGTCGGGCCTCTCCCCTCTATAGTCGTGATCAAGTCGTGGCTCACCCGCAGATTCTGCGCGCCGCTCAGCGCGCTCGCCACCCTGGCCTCGTGGCGCTCACGCACCAGCCGTCGCAGCGCGCCGACCAGAAACCCCGCCACGACGTCCACCGACCAGCCGTCGGGCACGAGATGCAGCACCTCGTCGAGGTCGAACCATCCCCCGAAGCGCTCCAGCAACGCGCCCGTCTGCTCCACGCGCTCGCTGGCGTCATCGATGGCGAGGAACTCGCGTAGCACCGCGCGGAACAGCCGCTGCTGGTCCTCCGCAGAAGGGGAAGCCGCCGCGTCGCCGCCCCGCCGCCGTCGCGAGGGCGTCCCTTCGGGCGTGGAAAAGACGCTGGCTCCGCCGCGTAGGCAGTATGACACGGCCGAGTCGTAATCGCCAAGCTTGTGGACAAGGAGGCGCAGGGCTTGCTCGTGGTGGCTTTCTCTGCCAGCAAGTATAATGGTCTCCGGCACCAGCAGGTCACCGGACAGGCGGCTTATGCGCTGTCGAATGCGGGAGGTATTGTAGTCATTTGCTCCACCCAGAAGCTGAAGCAGCCGCAGTCGGTTCTGCCACACCTCATTATCTTCCGAAGTATTTGCCATTAGGAAGTGGTGGTACGTGGGCTTTGGTGCTTCCAATGCCCTGTATGTTGCGTATGCTACCATGACAGCATCTCGACTTGCCTCTGACGCCTCCAAATCGCCAATGACACTGTCTAAATAGTAGAAGATGAGTTCGTTGATGTATGCCGTGTGGCCTTTGCCAAAGGTGAGGTGTTCGAGAAAGTGCTTCACCGCCATAGGTGCCTCATTCCTTAACATCTCAACCACCTGTGCGGGCTCGAACTTGGCAGCCTTAGACTTATCCTCGGCAAATATCTCCACGCCGAGTTTTGGATTTCGTCTGGCTAGCCAGACACCGTACTCTTTCACCAGTGATTGGTTGCTTATTTTTGAGAGATAATCTTTGATGCGCAGCTCGCCATCTTGAAATTCTTGTCCGTCGTCGCGCTCGCCTTCGATTATCCGCCTCCATGTCGCCAAGACATCACCAGCCATCTTTCGACTTTGATATAAGCGACTGAGGATAAAAAGGCGATGGTGAGACTCCAAAATATCCACTGCACGATCGAAACAGTCCACTCCTTTATCAACAAGCTCGTGGAGCTCAATCTTGATAGGGCTGTGCCTTCCAAGTGCCTTGGGAGCGCGTCGATCCAACTCCAGAAGGACAAGGAGCAGCGCAGCCTCTACCGTTCTGAACACCTCTCGCTCATCCGGCACACTTCCGAATCCTTTCATTTTTCGCCAGGCGGAAAGAAAACGGCGGAGGAAGTGAAGTGTTCTCGACTCCAGATTCCCGATACTGTTCTTTGCGATGGCTTCGAACTGATCACTGCAAAGGATCATTTCCGTGATTTTTTTCACACCGCCATATATCCAGATTCCATTTCGTCCCTCGATAATCTCGTTTCTGATTCCGGGAATCATGGAAAGCACAACTCTTGGGTCCAGTTGACTATCAGCGAATATTTCTTCCATGGCAGAGATTTCTGCATCTGTAAGTTCCTTGTGTGGTGGTGCGAGGAGCAGAGCACCTAAGAGTAAGATGCCTGCCTTCTGGCGCATGTATCGGAAAGTCATAAATTCGAGTTCTGTTTTCGCCTCCCGGCGGCGGATCCGGGCTACCGTGCCGAAGACGGCTTCTGTATCGAGCTTGCCAGGCAGCAATTGACTGTCATTAGAAGCTCCCAGCGCATTTTCCAGTTGTAAAATGAGTGGGTTTCGAACTGTCCACCAAATTTTGTCGTCCGACCAGGCAACCAGTGTGGTTGATACTTTTGCCAATCTTCGAGCGAACTCCTCTCCTTCGGATACACGGGAGGTCTCCCAACCATCAGGCAAATCGTCGTCTTGGGAGTCAGAGTTTCTTTCGAAAAGCTCCTGCTCCTTAGACAGGCGCTCCATGGACGAGGCAGTACGAGAGTCGAGGCTCTTCAAAGATGCCACAGATGCAGCGGTGGGACTGGGGAAAGATGAGAAGCGCTTCTCGCTGAGCTTCTTCACAATCTCTTCAAACTTCATGTCTTCGTTCCCAAGCAGTGATTGGATTCCGTACGGACCATTCGGCTCTAGGTTTGCAGCAAACAGCCAGTGTTTCTCAGGGTGAGCCTCACTTCCCGCATCCACCCGCTGGATTTCAATACCAAATCTTGAGCCCTCGCGGTTTTCCATATCCAAGGAAGCTAGAACATAACCGTCATCGTCATCAGACAACCCGCTTCGTGATGATGCCAAGTTCGCGGTCCCACCATCTACGACGACCTGTTCGGGATATTTTTCGAATGAGATGGTTGGCCGAGTGATTTCGCCATCCAGATTGATAAACATGCCAATGCCGACTTCTTCAGGTGTAGTACCAGTTACTATCAGAAATTCATCCGGGGTGGGTGACGCAATATGCGGCTGTAATGCCGCGGGGCGCGGCATATCAGACGATTGTCGGGCTTCCGAGGGGACATCAGGCAGAGCCTTGTCAGTAGCGAGGCCAGACTGCGGTGTACCAGGCTGGTCTGGAGAAGAGGAGTTCCGTGATGCGCCGCCAACTTGGTCCTGTTGGCGGCCCAAATTGCCCAGAATGGCCCCTCCGAGGCTGGAGCTCCTAGCGTGACTCTGAGAAACGGATTGCCGGGCAGCGTGCGAAGTCGATGCGCTTCTGGATATTCCACCTATATCTACCTTTCCTGACGGAGCTGGGGGCTCGGGCGAAGCTGGGGGCTCCAGGGATGAGATGTTCATCAAGGGAATTTTCAGCTGTTTATCGACATCGAGAAGAGCGTATACTTTCGAATCCGCAACGCATGCAATTGTGTCTCGGCGCACGGAAAGGCAGCTTGCAGCAAAGTCTATATTCTATCGTAAAGCAATTAGTCTGTAAGTCTCACGGAATTGTAGCAGATGTGCATACCTTGACAGGCCTTGCATTATCGCCAATGCGAACCACTTGGATCTTCTTCTTGAGCGACATTAATATCGCCATGGCTTCTGGTTCGTTTCTCGTGCCTTCATTTGTTATCGGTTCGTTCAGGTCGATGCCGCCTATCCAGCTGCAATTTTTCACTTGTGTTGACTCGAAAACTGGCGTGAGCTCGGGCAGCGAGTAAAAGGTGACGGTCGAATTGCAAAGGATGCAGGCTTTGCCAGCGCGCGGCAGCAGCAAAATCTGCTGTACTCCGGGGCACGTCCCTCCATTGATCTCATGATATGGGGGTGCGAGCCTTGATGCCGAAATATACATCGGTTTGCCATTTTTGTCGGCAGGATCGGGTGGGATCTGGACAAGGTGTAATAGCTCCGAGGCCGAGGTACCGATGTAGAGATTTCCATCTATGATGTCCGTTAGCGAGGTAAAGGCGACACTTCTTGCGAGATATTACCATAGTATTCTACACAATTGATCTTAACATCGCCCTTGGAACCATCTTCGGAGAGGGGTACCTCTTCCAGCAGTGGCTGCAACAAGTATGGTCCACTCTCTGCGCTCGGTAGGTCTCGCTGGCTACCGCCCTGCTGCGTCATTGTCGTATACTTTCGCGTAAGTCATTTGAGAGCTCTGCATACGCCGCCTCACGCAAACATGGCCGCTCGACGAAAGCGTCGTATCGTGTTTGTCGATTAAGAGGTGATGCTATGCCGTTGCGCGGAAGCTTTGGAAGGCTGAGTGGGGCGGACAGACGTCAGCCCCTTGTGGCGCGATCAACGTACGTGTCTGGACCTCTGGAGCTTCTACTCCTAGAACACCTCGCAGTGCCACGGCATTTTGCACTCTACCCTTCCACCGCTTAAAGCGCGTTGTCGCTCTGTCACTGTCTGAATTTTGTTTGAGATTGATTATTGCGGATGCTTCAGCTTGGTGTTGCCTGTGTCGTGTAATAAGCACCCAGCATGGCAACGACGACAGCCGCGGCGCCAAGCGCAGCTGGGGAGCCTGGGGCATCTGGAGATGCTGGGAACAAGTTCCAGCATGCTATCTCTGCATGGAGAAGTTAGTATTTGTGCAATTGTCTTGAAACAAACGACAACTATTAACGCGACGCAGCCGTCGATCTCACAACCCTCACTTCGAGCCTCGACAATACCGCCTCGGATATCGTCACATATCAACGTGACTCGACGGTGCAGCGCAAAGACTTGGCCCAAAAAACGAAGGACTTTCGAAAGCTTGACGATGCTACGAAACTTACAGAGATCAAGGGATTGCTGAAAGGTAACAACTGGCGGATCACCGTCCCAGCAGAGAAGGCTAACTTTACTCAGCCTACCAAACATTTATCGACCTCTTGACGAATCACTCAAAGTCTGTCAATTCGGCCTTCCTTCAGGCATATTCTTCCATCTCCGAAGCGCCCGACCCGTATCCGTTACTGGAAGCCTCCGTCGATGCCATGCTGGTGTCGGAAGACACAGCTCCTAAGCTCAGAGAAGAAAACTCGCACCTCCAAGCCAATGTTGCGAAACTTACCGCGCAACTCGAAGAGACCGAGTCGAAGCTACAATCGGAGGCCGCAGCGCGAAAAGACTTGGAGGACAACCTAGACTCGAAGGTGAAAGATATCGAGTCGTCATGGAACGCTGTGCTGGGCGAGCGCAAAGACAATTGGGAGGCGAAAGAGAAGAGCCTCGAAGAGAAGGTCGAGAGTCAAGAGAGGCTACTTCAGGAGCTCAAGGCTACCTACGAAACAAATCAACGCCTCGGAAAAGCCGGCGATGATCAAGACGGAATGCGCAGTCAAGCATCCAGGGCGGAGCTCGAAATGCTGCATGCCGACTTGGAGCGCACAAGTTCGCGGCTGGCAGATGTCGAGTCGCGAAATGAGCAAATGAGACTGGAACTGGCCGAAGCGAAGTCGAGTGTTTCTTCCCACCCTAAGGCATCCTTAGAAGACGATCCCGATTACATGAGGATGCGATCCGAGAATTCTTCGCTCATTCGAAAGCTCGACAGCACAAGATTAGAGAAAGAGGGTCTTAAGAGAGAGTTGGACACCAAGGTTCGGTCGACGGGGCGGGAATTGGCCTTACTCAAGGAGGAGAAAGAATCACTCAAATCAAAGGTGCAGAAATGGAGTGATTACGATGAAGTAAAGCAAGAACTAGAAGTGCTCAAGAGCATCGAATTCTCGACAGGGGATGATGAGGAGGATATTCCAACTGGCAAGGACAGTGGGGCCGAGGCAGGCAATTCCTTGGAGAAGCTGCTTCTGGGTCGCAACAAGAAACTAGGCGACGAGCTCACAGTTCTTAGAGTTTCGCATCAGGACCTGCAAACAAGACTGGAAGATCTACAGGAAGAAACGTCCAAGACGAATGCGGAGCTTGAAAGATGCCAGAACCTCAATGAGAAACTTGAAAGAGATTTGGAGCAGATGCACGCGGAAGGAGCAAATGCTTTCCCCTCTGGAGCATCGATGGCAGGGACGTATGTGACGCGAGCACAGACGCGACGCGGAGGTCGAATCTCACCAACGTCATCCATCATCAGTGGATTAGATCCTCGTGGAGGTGGGGAGAGAGAGCCAATGGGCGGAGGGTCCGGCATCCTTCCCATGGTAACAGCTCAGCGAGACCGGTTCAAGCAGAAGAATGCGCAGCTGGAGCAGGAGGTTTCGGAGAGCCACAGGACAGTGCAGCAGCTACGACAAGAGGTGGCGGCGTTGCAGAAGGACAACTTGAACTTGTATGAAAAGACGCGGTATATTTCGACATACAATCGCTCAGGCGCAACGTCGTCTTCGGCGACTGCCTACGGAGGCAACCCGAACCCCTCAACGGTCGCTATTGGAGAAACTGGCAATCCAGGAATGGCTATGGATCGCTACCGGGCAGCCTACGAATCAAATATTTCGCCGTTTGCGGCGTTTCGAGGTCGTGAATCAGCGCGGGCCTATCAGCGCATGAGCCTGCCTGAGCGGGCCGTGTACTCCATCACGCGCATGGTGCTGGCGTCGCGCAGCAGCAGGAATCTATTTGCAGCGTATTGCGTCGCGCTGCACCTGCTGGTGTTTATGTGCCTGTACTGGCTAGGTGCGTCGGACCTAGAGAAGCATGGGGCCAGCTTGGGCGCTTCCTCAGTGGCGGCGGCCGGCGCTGCGGTCAACGGGGCGGCGGCCGGGGATGGTGGTGGCAAATGGAAGGAGGACGGATTTGCGGGAAGCTAGCAATCGTATGGTAGGGTAGACGAATGAGTGTACAATAATAACTTGGGTGTCTGTTTTTGGCGTGTTGCTGTTGGTGGTGATTGGCCAGGTCAAGGATGTCGTGGGATTGGCTCAGCTTGGTCAGCTTCCTTGGCAGCGCGTACCTTGGATGACGGGATTACTGCGTGACTATTTACAATGAAATGCAACTGCAGGTTTCTTCCATGCACGCACACGTTATCTCAAGCTCGGTGGTGCCCGCGCAACGTAGTGCCGCGCAACCGAAGTCAGGTTTCGGATGGCAGCCGTCGGGACCAATCAAGCAACACGCCCCGGCGGGCGGGTGGGATTTGATCTAAGACCCAGGGCACATGTGCCGGAGTGAGGTGCTGCAGCAGTCCGATTTGCTTGGTCCGAGGTGGGTGGGTTGGTCAAAGTGGCTGCGAGGTGCAGATGACGACATGGGTAATGTATAATTTGGGTGGATAGCCGCCGAAGAACCATCCGTGGCTTGCTGTGTGACAGAACGGGTAGTAGAGGCCGTGTTGTACTGGTCGACCACGGTTTCCCTAAATAATACAAGGTTAGTACCCTTGCGGTTTTTCTTCTTCTCCCCCTTTTTTTTTTAACACCTGTGTATTTTCAAGCATGAATGAAGTTGCTCAGGTTCGCCGCATTGATGGAAATCTTATACATGAACGAACTCATCTCAAACTCCAAAGAAGACAATGCATGCATCCTGCCCCCTCTTCGATGGAAAATCATAACCACGCCTAGTCTTACATACGCGCCGTTTGCACCCTCCACTCGGCCAATGATCATCCATCCATCATCCATCTTGCTCTTCGCGGCCCGTACCCGCCAAAAAAGCTCACCCCATCCAGCCCATCTCCGCGCAGCCAATTTGATTGGATCAGCAGCCACGCTTCTAACCGCCCGCCTAGGGGCCCCCCTGCCGACTCGCCTCTTCCCCCGCCATTCTCCCAATTTAGCAGCCCCTTCCACGTCCCCTTCCACAATAAACCCTTGGCTTGCAGACAGCTTGGTCAGCTTGGCTCCCACGCGACAATGTCACCCACCACCTGAACATGCGCAAACTTATTTTTAGTCTTTCCCCATGTCGGACCAATCCAACGGGTCGACGCATCCCAATCCCGTCCCACCCCGAAATGAATGGGACGGTCGTCCGGCTCCGATGGCTGGTGGCCACGGCGGCTGCGGCTCTTCGCAGGACAAGGCAGCCAGCCACGAACAATGGACATGGGCATGTAGTTTGCGGTCTGCTTGCTGTCTGTGCTATGCAAGGGCAAGGGTATATCTTGTAGAAATGTCTCTCCTTTGTTCCACTCTTGTGATTTTCCTTTCCTTCCTCTATTTAGTAGTAACACTTACACTTCACACACAAGCATCAACACACAGGCAACACTGTGTAGTGCTTTTTTTCCTTTTCCTTTTTCTTCTTTGTCTATTTCCTTAATTTCCTAGGGTCTGTTTGTTTTCTCATCTTGGGGTCTTCTCAATCGATTTATTTTCCTCTTTTTTCTTTTCTTCAGATTCCATCATCGACGACTTGTCCTTGTCTCCCAAGAATCACGACTTCACCACATCCCGCTGGAACAGGATCCTTGAAAAACACAAAAAAAAATGCATCTCAGTACTCTGATTACCTTCTCAATGGCTGCTACAGCCTTTGCGGCCCCGAGCTACCTGCAAATCAACTCGCTCGCAAACCCTCTCGCCGCCCTCAATGCCATCACCACCTACTTCAACCTCGTCGCCGACAAGGTACCAAATGCCAAATCCACCCTCGGCTCGCCTCTCACGTGTGATCTCGCCAAGGCCGTGATGCCCACCTGTAAGTTTTGTTTATCGTTTTTTTTTCTTCCCTCTCCGCGCCCCCAATCATCTTCCATGACGCAGGATCATCCATCTAACCTCGTCCGTCTCAGTGCCCGGCCTGCCCTCGCCCGCCCCCGGTTCCCAGCTCCGACACGTCGCCGTCGGCCGCGGCACCCAAAACTACACTTGCGACGGGAACCCGTCCTCCAAGCCCAAGGCCGTCGGCGCCGTCGCCACCCTCTTCAACGTCACCTGCCTGGCCTCCAAGTACCCCGACGTCAGCGGCCACATCCCCGGCATGGCCGTCCACTTCGACTTTGACGCCTCCGCCTCCGCCGCCGCCGCCGCCGACACGAGCGACCGCCTCGGCCCGGCCACGCTGCTCGTCTCCGGCCACCACTACTTCACCGCCGCCGGCGTCCCCTTCTTCGACCTCGGCGGCCAGGGCCACATCCCGTGCGCCAAGAACGCGAGCGCCGACGCGCCGTCCACCGCGACGGTCGGCCAGAAGGGCGAGGTCGCGGTCCCCTGGCTGCGGTTGCTGGCGACAAAGGACGCCACGGAGGGCCTGGGTGAGGTCTTTCGCGTGTCGACGGCCGGTGGTAGCCCGCCGGATACGTGCAAGGACCTCAACGGTCCCTTCCAGGTCGAGTACGCTGCAGAGTAAGTTTTCTTCTCGGATCGGGCTTGTCGGGCAGCTGCTAATACCATGCTCTTTAGGTATTGGTTCTGGTCAAAGTGAGTAGACTGGTTGTTGCATTTCAAGGAAACGAGTCCAGGGGGTTTTTTTTTAGTTGCGTCACTTTTGTCCTACTCTTTGTCTCTCTCACGCGTTGCTCTCCATGGGTGAAATGCTACTGTCATGTTCATCATTTGACGTAGCCATCCTGCTGGTGGAGGAATGCACGCCGTATTGTATTGATACTTCTTCAAATTATTCTAGTTATGCTTTTTTTTTTAACTAATTACGATGTATCTGCCTCTTTCATCCTTCCTAGCCACGAGATGCGTCGCCGCGTAAGGCGGAAGATAATGAACTTTTCCTCCATTACATCCCGGGAACGCTGCTTTTTGCATAGTCGATTTTTAAATTTACATGGTCACACTAATACTGTGCGAGGCACCGCTCGCAAAGCTGCTGTTAAGGCCGGCGCGGCAGAGGCCAGCCATGATAGCAATTATAGCGATGAGGTAAGTACTATCCCTTAGTAGCCTTTTTATATTTTGCTTGAATATATTTATTCACTTTTTTAGAGCTACTACGGCTGTTCAACCCGTAACTTGCCCGATCAGCCATTAACTGGCTTCTTCGGTGAACATCCATCACCCTCAAGGGATCAGTGCTTCTTCACGAACGAGAGCACCGGAGAACCGAGCCATGCCAGCGGAGGAACATTCATCGGCTATAGCGGCCTGTATTACATTTCTGTGGTACTTATCCTCCCACCCAGTTCGGAACTTGAAAACGTGAAACGGCCCTCTGTCGCTCGGTACCTCGCACCTGAGAATTCTCCCCAGCAACAGGTCTGTGCGGCGCTGCATGAACTGCGTGGCATGTGAGTGTGAGTATTGTATGCGAATCATGTTCGCAAGCAACTGCACCCGAATTCCCGGTATCAATTGGATGCGAAATTCCGGGTGGTCGAGGTCGACATAGCCGCAAGACTTAAAGGTAAGCGAGTTGAGCTCGTAGATGGCTTCCTCTTTGGGAAGTTTAGAAGCATCCGGAATGATGCGCCCTAGAACCCGAAGTGCGCGTTGTCGATCTTGGGCAAGCATTTGCTTCTCAGCATCATCCATTTCTTCGCTAAGCGTAGTGTGAACTTTGACCGACGGCGAGAAGTGCTCAATGAGGCCCGCCCACGACATCCAGGAAGGAAGCTCTGGCGAGGACGCCATTGTTGGGTCACTACCTAGACCCGAATTCCATAATTGAAGCATTAGGCCGCTTCCCAGGCGCATTGGCATCGCAGATAGCGAAACGCCTCCAAGTTCAACGCTTTCCAAGGACGTAAGAGCATAGCCTCGCAGAGCCTGGAGGAGCACATGCGGCGCTACCCAGCAATTCTTTAGCGACAGGTGCTTCACGTACGGGAGCCGCAGTAGCTTGGGGTCTCTTCCAACGCGGGCCATACTCTTTCGAGACATGCCCTCCGGCTCTGCAAAAAAGGAGCTGGTAGGACGTACTGGCCGCGCTGATGACACCCGGAAGCCAGCTCGCCACCACAGATCCATTCGAAATGGAAACTCTCAATCTTGGGGCAAGTACCAATGAAGTTGTTTATCAGTTTATGGGCAAGAGGGATAGCTTCGAGCGGTGACACAGTATCGTCGGCCGGCCACTTGGGCGAGATTACTTCTAGGCGGACGCCAATCCGCAACCACGCCGAGGGAAACGTTCTTCAAGGACGGAAAGGCGTTCCAGAAATCATAACGACTCAAGATGTGCAAGTGAGAGCTGGGTATTTTGGCGATGTTGAAAGTCGTGAGATTTTGGAAACAGCCCTCTCCAGAGCAGTCCATTGCGGATAGGATATACGACTCAGTCCAGGCACGACAGGCCATTTCTAGTTCAAAAAGCATCTCGATCTGCTCTCGGGTTAATGCATTCGGTAACAACGAAAAATCTTGTAGTGTAGATGCCCTTTTTGTAAGCCTTGGCGATAGATTCAGCTGTCGGTGAAGTTCACGCGATTCCCTGTCCTCAGTTTGGATCAAGTCTTGCAGTAAGCGAGGTTCACGGCTTTCATCAAAGTCCATGTCGGATACTGAAGCCTTTCCCTCGGCCTTTAAGAGAATTGCGATGGCTGTTTCCATCTACTCCCCCTCAAATCCGGCATTCTTTAGCATTGCCTTCAAAATCAGTTCCTTCCAATTTTTAGGAATCGGGAATCGTCCCCAATTCATCTGCGGGGATCGTAAAGAGGCTTCAGCAGCGGTAATCACAGACGAAGGATTGGGGTCTAGCCATTTCGTTACTCGTCCGTTTCTCTGGCCTGTGAAAATAGGCTGGCGAATTGTGTGGAGTTTTGCTTGAAGATCAGGACCACACAAGAAACCTAAACCCACATCGGAACATAGACCAAGAGATGTGACATTGACCAGGCATCTCAGCGCTGCTTTCATCTTCTCATGCCTATCCGCATTGTCTTCAATATCGAGAAGGTCTTCAAATCGGGAGTATCCAGACCGCGGCAGCGATACAAACCCCAAAAGGAGCGTTTCACTTCCTGCCTTATTTTGGGACGAGGCAAGGCCAGTGCGTCTTCGTCAACGTCCAGAGAAAGCGCAAATCGAGAAATGTGGTGACCAAGCTGCTCCAAGATTCGGCTTCCACCCAAGGAAAGCATGTTGTGGTACACGGGTTGGAAGGTAGCTGATGTGTCGAGCAGACGTGATCGAACGGGAACAACTACCTCTCGGAAGTAGTGCCCAGAAACTTTGGCTCGCATTGTTTATTGACGAGACGCAAGTTTCTGATATCAATGCGCGAGATTAGCAACGTGGTGTCTCCAAAAAGCTCAAATGGGAGATCGGGCAGATTGACAACTGCAGAGGTGGCTGTGAATGAGTCCTGGGTCAATTCGAGGCTCTGGCCGTGGCCAAAGTGAGAATGACCTTGCCTCCTGACTGACGGCGGTTCCATAGCTGCGAATATAACGATGATAACTGTGCAAAAGCGCAATACCGGGGGGATGGCTTCCACAAGAGCAAGCTGCTGGTGACTACCCGAAAGCGACGCTGAAGTTGGGCTCTGCCAGCAGCAGCCCTGTAGAGCTGGGCCGTCACGGGCAACAAGACCTTCACCACTCAACTGCTTTTAGATGATCGAAGTGGTAGTGCAGAGGAGCCTCAGAGTGATTGCCAGGCTTTACGAGACAGATGGAGGGCACCCAACTCCATGTCAGTGTTCCACGACGGCGATGAGTGACGCGGGGCAATTTGCAGTGTTCGCGGTGCTTAGTAGTCCGGCGTACTAAAGAAGAGAGCGAGAAACTAAGAGAATTGGGGTATAATAAAGTAAATGAAAGTGAAGAAAAAAACAACGTTGTTGGGAGGAAGTAGTTTCACGGCGTTGGTGTGATTGGGGGGGGTTAACTGTGTAGCGCTGGCACGTGGAAGAAGGCAAGCGTCATCGTCGGCGTTTAGTGTACATCTGTACCTACGCAGGCATTCCGTATCTATGGAAATAGGTTAAGACAATACTTCTATCTTAAAATTCTATTTTACTTATTGCTGCCCTAGTTCGTGTAGATTCATCTAGGGCCTGGATTCCTATTTCTTCGCTAAGTGTAGTGTGAACTTAGGCGACGGCGAGAAATGCTGAATGACGCCCGCCCCGACATCCGGAAGCTGTAGCGAGAGGAAAGAGGTGTATTCACAAGGTTTCGCGCAAGAGAATGAAAACGACGGAAATAAGACAAAGATGGATGACCGGGATATAATGGAGGAAAAGTTTACGACTTGTTTTATCTTCCTCGCACAGCAGTATCCGTATGAGCGCGACTATACAAATTTCAGAATCAACAATGCAAAAGCAGTCCCATTATTTATCCCTTAAGGATCGGCTGGAGTGTTGTTGCTCGATCGTCGTGCTGTCAGCTTCATCTTAAAGCTATGTCTACCATGGGGGTTCAACTCATAGTCAATCGGCACGATACGAGGATATCGGACCGTTTAATAGAAAGGTTGTTGGTATTCTTCATTTCGTCAACAAGAGTACACTGTCCCCTGCGAAGCAGAAACCGTGGATAACAGATTCGTCGCATGCGTTTTCCCCTGTAAATGCCATGCTCGGACACCCTATAAACCAGACTTGCCACACAAAAAGAGAGAAAAAACACACCTACACCAAAATGGCAGGGAACCCAGATCGAGCTTGAGTGTAGGAAAAACCATGGAACTCCCAAAACATTGATCCCGCCCCTCTCTCTATCCGCGTCATCCTTTTTTGTCCCTTTTTCCTTCCCCGATGCTGTGAGTAAAAAAATCATTTGTCGTTACGCCTTTGTCCAGAAGGAATTTGCAGAACCAGAGGAGAGAAGAGGAAAAGTCGGTACCATTGCTTCTTCCCTTGCTATGTTGTAGTCGTCGAAGTTTCACGCGGCGGGAAAGTAAAAGGCTGAACAAGGCAAAGAGATGATATTGATTCTTTCGCTTTTTTATTTAAGCTTTTTGTGTTGGGTTTTCGTCCGCTCTTCCTCCCTTCTCTCTCCCCTCCGTCTCCGACAGCCGGCTTACGCGGCGGTCAGGGCCTTGCGGAGGCGGGCGCCGCGCTGTCTGGCGTTGAGGTGCTCGCGGCCGACGACCTGCTCCGACTTTTGGACGACCTCCTCGGCCTCGGTGAGGATGAGCTCGATGTGGCAGGGGTTGGACATGTAGGGGTTAATCTAGAGTGGGAAAACATGTTAGCGGGCAACGCATCTCTCAATTTCCTCTCCCCTTCAAATGGGGGGAAGAGGGGCTTGGGTTTATACATACGCGACCGTGGGCACGGTACGTGCGTCTGCGCTGCTTGGGGGCCTGGTTGACCTGGATGTGCTTGACGATCAGGGCGCCGGTGTCGAGGCCCTTGGCGTCGGCGTTGGCCTCGGCGTTCTTGAGCAGGGTGAGGAGGTGCTCGGCCGACTTGACGGGCCAGCGGGCGCGGGTGACGCCAAACTGCTTGCCTATTGGTTCCTGTCAGTACATGAGGTTCCAGGATATCCAAGAAAAACTTTGTTCTTATCGCCCTCCCATCTGCCAGAGCTTGCAAATTCGTTAAAATGACAGCGCGCACAGGCAGACACTTCCTCCCCCTCCCTCTTCAACGCCTGGGCCGACCAACAAGACAAATTTCGTGAAGATCGTTCGTACCTTGGGCAGTGCGGCCAGTACCGCCGGCGTAGCGGCGCATGGGGACGGCCTCGTCGTGGCTCTTGACGTTCTCGAGGAACTGCAGGGCACGCTCCAGCTTCCAGCCGTTGATGGCCTGGGCGGTCTCGCGCGTGTTCTTGAAGGACACGCGGAGGTAGGCGCCGCGGGCGCGGGCCGACTTGGCGGGCAGGATCTCGGTCGCAGCGTAACGGACCTATACAAACGAAGACCAATTGATCAGCTCCCATCACAAACCAACGCTTATTCTAGGAGAGCTCCTCCTATCCCTTTGTCTTATAGCTTTGAATATCGCAGCGTCGCTAGTCCATTTCGAAGTCGATGCATGGCCGTTCGAGGTGGGATGGCGACGTATCGGCGGTGACGAAAAAATTCGGCGGTGGCAGATTCGATCGTTGCATTTCGAATGGACAATTCGGCTGGCGTATTCTCGCGAAAGACTCAGGGATGAGGGCGCATAGCACTCACCATCTTGACGACTTGAAGGGTTGGTGATGACTTGGTTCGACTACCGTGCGTTCGCTGGCGCTCAAAGTTGACAATTTCTGAACTTTTGCCCTAAGGGCGCTTGGGGGCGGGCTAGACAGCTCGCTTACTTGTTTGGGCAGCCTTTAGGGTTTTTCTGCCCTTACACGCCAAAAAAAACACCTGGTTACACAGCAAAACACACTGAGCGCAATCAGAGGCTGCCAACTATGTAACGTAGAAAAATAAGAGTGCAAAGTGCTGTTTTTGAATTGAGTCGGAATTTAGATTTTTTGGAATTTTCATCTTTTTTCCCTTGCCATCAGTAATTTAACTATGTTGTGCTCTGCAGTCACCTGATCAGACTGCACAAGCAGCCACGTGACTCGGATCTCTGTAAAAAGGGAACTATTCAATCGGAAAATCGTATCTCCTCCGACCGACGAGAGCCTACACCGAACTAGCCGCTATTGGTAATACGCGGGTCCCTTGAGTTTCTGCCAGTCCAAAGCTTCAAAAATTTCTTTCCCAGCCCGAGTGTCTAGAAAAAAAAGTTGAACATCGTGCCTACGGTAACATCAACAAGGACAAGTCTGCACTTGGTCTACACCTGTCAGCGATACGTTTCGACTTGCTCCCTGTTGGTTAGACGCGCAATATCAGCTCTACCTGATTTTCCGCATCTTCAATTCCTCTTCGACATCTACAATAAAAAATCATACACAATGGCTCCTTTTGTTAGCCGTGGTGGTCCTCGCGGCGGTGCTCGCGGCGGTGCCCGTGGAGGTGGCCGCGGAGGCTTTGGTGGTGGTCGCGGCGGTGCTGCTGGTGGTCGTGGCGGTTTCGGTGGTCGTGGCGGTTTTGGTGATCGAGGTATGCTCGTGACGGCGTCTTGATGACTTTGTATGCTTCGCGGAGACTGACTGAGCGCAAACACAGGTGGCCGTGGTGGTGGTCGCGGCGGTCCTGCTCGCGGCGGTGCCCGTGGCGGTCGCGGTGGTCGCGGCGGTGCCCGCGGCGGTGCTGGCGGCCAGAAGGGCGGTTCCAAGGTCATCATTGTGAGTTCTCTCTTTCATTTTCTCCACCTCCGTGATGAGGCTATCGCGAGGTGCTAGCGATGGCACGACCAACCACTTTTGCTAACGCATTCCGCCTTTTAGGAGCCTCATCGTCACGCCGGTGTTTTCGTCGTCCGTGGCGGCAAGGAGGACGGCATTGCTACCCGCAACTTGACGCCTGGCGAGTCCGTCTACGGCGAGAAGCGCATCTCGGTCGACGAGTCCGTCCAGAACGACGACGGCACGACGACGACGACCAAGGTTGAGTACCGCATGTGGAACCCCTTCCGCAGCAAGCTGTGCGCTGCCATTGCCGGCGGTGCCGACGACATCTACATGAAGCCCGGCTCCCGCGTCCTCTACATCGGTGGTGCCTCCGGTACCTCGGTCTCCCACGTCGCCGACCTGGTCGGTCCTACCGGCTACGTCTACGCCGTCGAGTTCTCGTCCCGCTCCGGCCGTGACCTCATCGCCATGGCCTCCAAGCGCCCCAACGTCGTCCCCATCGTCGAGGACGCACGTCAGCCCGCCCGCTACCGCATGATTGTCCCCATGGTCGACGTCATCTTCGCCGACGTTGCCCAGCCCGACCAGGCCCGTATCGTTGCCATGAACGCCAACTGGTTCCTCAAGGTTGGCGGTGGTGTCCTCATCTCCATCAAGGCCAACTGTATCGATTCCACCGCCCCTGCGGCCGAGGTTTTCGCCAGCGAGGTGCAAAAGATGCGCGCAGAGGCCATCAAGCCCAAGTTCCAGCTCACTCTTGGTATGTAAATGCCGGCCAATTCAATCAGTTGAATTCGTTACTAACATTTCGTCAGAACCCTTCGAGCGTGATCACTGTCTGGTTGCCGGTGAATATACCCGTGTCAAGAACTAAGGGATGTGTCGAGAGAAAAGCGATAAGCAACACGAATAGCAAGCCCAAGGTGCGCACGCGTGTGCATGTCGACGACTGCATTGTTGGCTACTGCTCGGCGTCCTCCCGGAAGGCACCCTGACTTGCTTGGATCTTATTTTGGCAATGATGTTCTGTTATTTTCGGTTTTCTGTAATGGCTCCTTCTTTTCATAAGGCGCGTGGCGTTTAGGCATTTGGGGGATTGTATCTCTTGTACATGGCTTTGATGTAGTACCAGCATTCAAGCCACAATCTAGAAAGCATATCACAACATGGGTGCTGCAATTGAGATTTGTTTGTGCGAATTGGCATGATCTTTTTGCTCGATGAAGTTGTTGGGCTGCGTGATGCGGAGTATGTGGGTGTCATCTTTGTCTACGAATCGGCAACTTGAGAGGTGTGACAAGCCTAAGGAAGCCAGCTATCTGCTCCATTTCGGTTTCTAAGCGTTTTCTCGTGTCGAGCAGCTTTTCTCGTGGATGCACGTTACTTACCTGCGGGTTCGGTACAGACCGGCCGGGTCGGCGCTACCCTATACCGCACCTTTCGCGAACTGTTGATCGTGCCTTTTTTCAACACAAACGTTTAAGCTTAATACCACGACTTTCTTCTCGCAATTGCATGCTCGACCACAGGTGACACATTGGATGACTTTGGCAATGTATCTCTGTTTCTCGAGCCTGCAGGCGAAGTCCGACCCGTATGAGTGGCAGTCGGCGCGGTAGCTTGTGAAGTAGCAAAAGCCACCACAGGGTGCACTTGAACACACACAGTACAACCCCGTTTTCACCAACGCCGTTACGCATGTTTAATTCCAATCGCTTCTTGCCAGATCAGTGACTTGCACCAATACGAAGGGCCGGTCCGAGTGATTCGATACCGCGAACGGTGGCACCCCCAGCAACCGGCATCGTTCACGACGTTCGATAGACGGTACTTTGGAGCCCGATGCGAGAGTTGCTCGGCGCTAGAACGGAGATGACACGTTTATCTCTGGGCAATCGAGATGGGCACGTCGGCATACAGTGCGAGTTACATAAAGTCATCTATGACACCACGGCTAGTGATTTGGAAACGCGTGATAGAGTGAACCTCTTGACGGGATTGTTTCAGGGCAGTGAGCGAATGGAACAGGCAAACGGGAACCCAACCCAACCAGTGGACAGATTCAAGACTGTCCCGACACGCATCCGAGCCAAGGACACGGCCCAACCTGTACCTGACAGTTTGTGGCAGTGCCGTGGGTACGTGCTCGAAATACAATGGGCTGGCGAACTGGCTTCCGTACAACTGCAAGGGGCTGATTACCAGCAGAATAAGAAAATAGAGCTGGCAGGGGACAGGGTACATGACATGGATCCATTTCTATGCAGAGGATCTAATCAATCGCGAGCGTGGCCCAGACAGCCGGTACGAGTCCCAACGAAGCTGTGGGCAAGGGGGCGATACAGAAAGCGCTAGGCTATGTTGCGAGAATAGGAAGGATGAAAGCCCCGAGGTGGTGGGTCAACAGAAGGAGAGAAGATGAATCCAGGCTGTGAGCCAAAAGTTATCAGATGCGGGCCTGGTGTGTGGCCGAAATCGGGTTGTCAGACAAGCCAAAATTGTGCCGCCCATCCGATCACGAGACCGGCAGAAACAGTGCAGCAAGCCGCAAAGGCAACGTAGTTAGCTGGCCAAGACTCTGTTGACACCCGAACGAGGGGTAAGACAGCGAACGGGCGAAGTCTTGCTCGGGATTCTTAGAAAAAGGGCGAGAAGAAAAAGGGGCCGTTGCGGGTTACGCAGGTGCGACATGTTCGGACGGGGGTCAGCCCTTTGATGGTACCTTCTGATTGATAAGATGGACCTGATAAAATTTTTTCTTTCCCAACAGACAACGAGCATGGGCCATGGTGGACAATGCCCTGTGGCAGCGGCTTATTGGGCCTGCCTGTGCCAGGGCAAGCAAAATTACGAGACAAGCCAAATTACTGCGCTTGACAAAAAAGTAATAATTCCATGCGGATCACCTCAAATTTGCCTGCCTGGCTCTCGACTCAGAAGACTGGTGGTGGGTGAAGAGTCAAGTCTAAGGTCTCCGTGTCACACAGTACGAGTAAGTGGTCGGGTGAGCAAGCGAGCAGGCAAGTAAGTGAGCCAGCAAAGATTCTGGAACCGCAGAAACGAGATCCGGCTAGCTGCAGCTGGGTGGCTGCATGATCTTTGGGCGTTGGGTGGAGGTTTTTCTTTTCCTGCTCAACGGCGAGGGTTGGACCATGTGATGGGTAACTGATTGATTAGATGCGCAAAACTATTCAAGTCTGTGCTCGGACAAGTTTGGAGAGAAATTGAAACATGGGTTTTGGCTCCGGAAACGTTCGGTAACCGCGTCGGCCCATGGCAGAAAGCATGTGCTGCCAGCCAAAGGTACTAATAATACTGCATGGAAGATGGGAGAATGAGAAAACAAGCCCTGCCATGATCCATTCTTTGCTGCACATATGGGCCCGGCTAAGCCAGGCCGGTTCCGGCACGCTGCTTATGATGCTCAATATTATTGCAGTGCCCGCAATTGAGGATCATGTTTCCCCCCAATGACCATGGGAAGAAAGAGCATATGCGAAGAAGGGTAATAAAAAAGAAAGTAGGTATTAAAATTACCGCGGTGGAATGGACACTTGTCACCACCCGAGGGCCCAGACCGCTAAAAATGGCGACACAAGACGCCAAAAAAGCACGCGCCATCTTATCAATCAGTTGAGGATGGCCAGCGTGTCAGGCGTTGTTGCCCGCCAGCGACGGATTTTTGGATGAATACCAAGTGGGTTGGTAATGAATTGCCAGCTGTCGAGTGAACGCTATGTAATGTCGCCAGCAGCTTGCAGCCGCCGCATTCTTGACCCTATGGCGCGTCAAAATGTTTACCCCAAAGTGGACGTCGGGCGACCCTCCCCGCTGGTCATGCTTTGCATATCATGACTGATTGATTACCAGGCACAGCGCGGGGTGGCGGACCGCGCACTGTGTAACCCTTAGCAGGCCTCCAGTGCGCTAGAGACCAAGGCGTTGTGGGTTGGCGCATTATTCGGACTCTAGATTGATAAGAGGAACAAGAAATCGCGCGACCTCTCAGCCAAGGCCCAGCATTGATAAGTACGAATACTGGTACATGCTAGTACGAACACGGGCTACCCCCGGAAAGGAAGAATGGAGCAGTTAGACGCAAGTCGGATAGAATTTGTTCACTGTACGGATCGATCGATGGATTGTGAGATGTGACTGAGACCGGATGACAGGCTGTGCCGTGATTCAATGTCATGACCAGTCCAACCAGGGAGACATGACGAAACGAAAGATGCAGAAGAGACGCAGAAGAGACGCAGAGAAACGCAGAGAAACTAGTTTTTTGGGTTGGACGTGGCGTGCGCGCTATGTCTCCCATCATCATTATATCATACTTTGGGCCTGAGAGGCCAGTCAGATGCCAGCACGGCGATGACCGTCTCCACTGCCTGGCGCCCGCTGCAGCGCTGTAGCAGCCGGCGGCCCCCTGATGCAGCCCTTGTCAGCAATTTCATCCCGCTAAATTGTCTTCATGTGCTGTTAGTGGTGTGCTGGCTGGGGGCCAAATTACGCACTGTGCCTATCAGCCTAGCTGCGAAACCACCTCCGTAGCCGGGGTCCTCTGCTACAGCGTCTGAGGCCTCTGCAACTCATGCTCCTGCTCTCGGCCCCTGGTAGCACATGGGTGGCCCTGTAATTGCAAGAAAAAGAAGCTTCCCCGGGCCCTGACTTCGCGCACTCCGCCGCCCACCCACCTGCCCCAACCGCACCCTCTTTGCCTCTTTCCCAACGACGACCTCGGCGGGCGGTTCGCACTGTTCCGTCAAATTCCCTTTTCTACCGACGCCCGCCTCTTCCCACCCCACGACGTCGGTAGCCACCACACTGTTCCCTAATTTATCCTCCTTGCTTCCCTTTCTCGAATTGCACTCGACCTCCTCGAAACCTTTCCCTCCATATCTACTACTAACCTGTCTCTTCGCACGCTCATCTACAAACTGCGTTCGCATACAGCATCTGGTGCTTGCTCCATTCTACTGCCCCCAGACGCGCCTAAAGATTCCACCTAACGCCACACCATACCGACCACACCACCACCACCCCCAGCCAGGAAAAAACTAGCCTGCTGAACAACCCTGGCGAGCAGCATCGCAGGTCTGCCACACAATCCACGGACGAACACAGAAATCGCAGCCGAACTGCTCGTCCGCCCACCATGGTCGAGTCGCCGCTTACCACCGCCGCTGCAAAGGCGCTTGTTGCGTCGACTGGCGACTGTGTTCCCTGCGAGCCCATCAATGCCCCGTCCGTGGCCCCATCTCTCACCTTCTCCGACGAGTCGGACGATGCCGAGGAGCCTGTTCGTGCAGCAGGGAAGCCGCAGGCGCGCCAGCGTCGCGCTTCCACGCGGCTCATTGCCCAGAGCGCCCGCGACATCCAGCGTATCACTGGCGAGACGACAGCCGAGTTTGTCGGACGCTGCTGCGGCGGCGGCTGCTGCTTGATGGGCAGCAAGCGTCCTGCCGGCATCGACTACGAACCTCTGGCCCTGCCCGACAATGCGGCCTTCAATTCCCTTGGTCTCAAGTTCCCCGAAGAGATCCCTACCAATCTCACCGGCATTGTCGATATGCCAGACAAGGTTGTCTCGTTCAAGTCCATTCCTCGCCCGCTTAGCCTCCCTTCAGACTCGGGCATCTCCATGGGTCCTGATGCCGATACCTTCTCCACATCCTCTGCCGAAAAGGCCTCAGAGCCCATGACCGCCGAGCCTCTCGACACTTCTATCCAGCCCCCCAAATTCGTGCAACCGCACCCTCCCTACCACGTCTACCCCGCCAAAATTCACACTGCTCGCGAGCTCACCAAGGATGGTGCGGAGAAGCGCACCTATCACTTCGACCTTGACGTCACCAACTATCCCGACGAAGAGTCTAATGACTTCAAGGTTGGCGGCGCCATTGGAGTTCTTGCTCCCAACGAAGACAGCGTTGTCAATGATGTTCTTGACCGCCTTTTGGTTCCCCGCTTCGTCCGTGACAAGCAGACCTTAATGACTACCACTACTGGCCGCTGGCCAACGGTCTGGGGTGACGAGAAGCCCCGCGAGCTCATTACCACTCGCAGAGATGTTCTCAAGTGGTGCACCGACCTTCAGTCCTATCCTCCTACCAAAAATGTGTTCCGCGTTCTCGCTGAGCACGCCACTGACGAGGTCGAGAAGAAGGTTCTCATGTTCCTCTGCTCCGCTCAGGGCCAGGGCACGTTCTGTGATATCCGCACAGGACCCCACGTCACCATGTCTCAGCTGCTCTATGCATTCCCCAGCTCGCAGCCACCTCTGGATGAGCTTCTGTCTGTCCTACAGCAGCTCATGCCTCGCTTTTACTCTCTCTCCAACGACCCTCACGATTCTTACCAGATCCGCGATCAGAAGGAACACCGCTTGATTGAAATAGCTGTCACCGTTCATGAGACGAGTGACTGGCGCAAGGGTTCTCGTACTGGCGTCGGGTCTGGATTCTTTGAGCGCCAGGCACATCGCTTCCTGGATGCTCAAGCTGCTGGGGAGGCCAACCCCGAGGTTTACATTCCCATGTTCAAGGGGCTCATGGCCAATCCACTTGCCAAAGAGTTCAATTCCGATGGTCCCATGCTGCTTATTGGTGCTGGTGTTGGCATTGCCCCCTTCCGTGGCTTTGTTCAGCGCCGCCTCAAGCAGGCCAACTGCGCCAATAAGGTCTGGGTCCTCCAAGGCATTCGTGATTCTCTGGTCGACGAAATTTACAGCGGAGAGTGGGGTGTACACGAGGAAGAAGTCAAGCGTGTCGTTCAGAGCCGACGCGGCGAAGGACGTTATGTCCAGGAAGAGGTCCGCAACCAAGCTGACCTCGTCTGGTACATTGCCAACTCCGTCGACGGGCGAGTCTTTGTGTGTGGCAGCTCCCGGGGCATGGGCGAGGGCGTCGAGGAGGCGCTCATCGATGTTGCCATGTCCAAGGGTAACCTAGAGCGTGACGAGGCCCGCAGATTCTGGGACCTCAAGAAGGAGGCTGGACAGTACATTGCCGAGACCTGGTAATGTGCTCACTCCTCCTGTGTGTAAGAGTATTTCGGACTTTTTTCTTCTTTTTTTTCCCTGATTTTTCCCGTTTCCTTTTTTCCTTTGGACAATATCATCAAAATACCTATTTCATGCCGCATATCATATCGGCCGGGGCGCAGGTTCTAGAAAAACGAGTACTGCGCAAGCATTCGGCTCACAAAAGCAGGAGAAAAGAAAAGCACTTTTGGGGATTTTTATGGAAGCACCATCGAACACGGCGTTACTACTTGTTACGATTCAATTTTTGTTTTGCATTTGTTTTGTCTTGGCTTTGTTGGTTCGATGCATAGGGCCACAACAGACTGCTGCTTGCTGTGCGATAGACTCGCGTGTTGGTCCTGTCTGGAGAGGAGGAGAGATATTGCTGGGCATCTAGGAGACATTAAGTCTCAGCTGTGCAAAATTGAGCAACTGAAAATGACAATAACATGATCAACACTACTGTGCCCATCACTAACCAAGATGAAATGTACCAGTCTGTGATAATGTATACTTTTTATTAGATTTGACTATATTGCTCAAGGGAAAACAAAGTATAAAAATGGCGTGGAGTAATCAGGAGGTCCCAATCCAGCCAATTTAGGAATTCACCTAGATGCTTTTTTATCTCGCAGTCCAGCAAACATGATCTGGGCGACAAACAATACTCACTCTTCCGTGTTAATCTTCGTTCACGCGGCCGAGAGCCTGACCCATCTTGATGGTCTGTCCCTTTTCAACCTTCCACTCCCAGCCCTTCCTCTTCTCCCCCTCCTTCTCGTCAGCCTTTCCTGCCGCCGTCGTCGGCGCCTCAAAGACGAGCACGATCGTGCTGCCGAGCTGGAACCCGCCCATCTCCTCGCCCCTCCGCAGCGCGTGCCCGCCCAGGACCGGACTGGCCGCCGCGTACGTCGCCTCCGCGAAGCCCAGGTACGGCTCGCCCGTCGGGTCGCGCGCCGCCTCCGCGGCCGCGCGGTCCGCCGCGGTGTCCGTCAGCAGGCTGTTGGTGCGCAGCTCGGCGTCGAAGTGGACGCGGATGGAGCCGACGTTGGTGGCGCCAACGGGGACGTAGGCGAAGAAGCCCCAGCGCCAGCGACCGAGTAGGGCGACGCGCTCGTTGAGGGTGAAGAGCCCGGGCAGCGTGCGCTGCAGGTAGGGGGATACGCTGTAGAGCTCGCCGGCAAAGTGGCGCCGGCGCTCGACGACCCACGCGGCGGGCGAGTGGAAGCGGTGGTAGTCGCCGGGGGCCAGGTAGATGACGGCGTAGTAGAGCGAGGTGGTCTTGTCGTGCGGCAGGAGGTCGTACCAGGCGCGCTCGTTGAGGGCGAGGTCGGCGCGGACCTCGGAGACGGCGGCCGGCGAGGGCTGCGTGGACTGGTCCTCGACGGCGCCGACGCGGTGCGTGGCAGCGTCCTCGCCGGGCTCCGTATGGCCAGTGAGGAAGTCCGGCAGCGTGTAGGAGATGCCGTTGACGCGGGCAAACTCCTCGTCCTTGCCGATGACGTCGTCGTCGCGGGGTCTCGGGGTGCTTGCGCCGCTTCCAGCCGCCGATGACGTGCCGCTGGCCAGGCTCGGGCTTGGCGTGTGCTTGCCGAGCAGCGCGTCGACGGTGTACGTCATGCCCTTGACCTGCTCGATGTTGCCACCGTCAATCTGCCCAAACTGCAGGACCTTGCCGTCGGAGGGCGACAGCAGCACCTGCGGGTCCGGGTCGAGTGGGCGCGCGCCGGGCTTGAGGGTGCGGTAGAAGAATGCGGCGAGGTTCGGGTACACGTGCAGGTCGGGTTCGGAGACTTCGGAGAGGCTGCGATGATTCTGTCAGCAAATATTCCCGCAGGCGTAGTTGTGAGAGCCTACTTGACGCCGAAAACCCAAGAGTAGAGCTTGAATCCGGGCACACGCAGGTAGTATGGTATCGTTAATTCATTGAATTGTCCCCAGAGGCGAGATATAGCCTTGAGGGGTAGCGTAGACATGACTTGAACTTGCCTGGACCTCTAGTGTTAGCACTTAAATCCATTGGTCCGACTGGGCACGGAATAATCTCACCATGGTCCTTCTGGTTGTATTCTTGGTCGGGGCTTGGGCCTGTCGCCACCATCCTGCTTCTCACGCTCCCTTGACTGGACCTTGTAGAATTGAACCAAGCCGAGGAACCCCACGCCGAGGCCGACGGGAATATGATACCAGGTAACCTTTGTCTTTCGAAGTGCATCGCCCAATCGCTGGGAGAACCGAGGCCGCTGGCCCGACGGGCCGGAGGAGAAGTCGCGTGCCGCGCCAGGCGGCGTCCGAGGACGCAGGGTCGACGCCGTCGAGGGCCGTCGCGCGCCGCCCGCGCCGCCAGCGAATTGCCGCCGCAGGGGGCTCAGGGCATGACCCCGTACCAAGCGCGCGGTGCCGAAGCCAAGTGTGGCCGCCATTGCCACCAAACACAGCCAGAGCTTGGTGTTTGTTTTTTCTGTGGTCAGGGTGAGCATAGAGCTCCGCAGTTTCGAGTTTCGCAGGGGAAAAAGGGAAGGTTTGCCTAGTGGCACCCGGGACGTCACCAGACTGTAAGCTGCCGTGCACTAACACGGGGCAAAGTCAAGCCTGTCAGTAGCTCTTGCAGGCGAGGCATGCGTTTGGGTCGCCGGAAAGACGTATTTTGATGGCAAGGAAGCAAGGCAAACTTGGGGATTTGAGGGATACTAGCTTGCAGAAGCCTGAACGCCCGAATGCTACGAAGTAGCCATCCCTATTTTACGCCATCACAAGTCCCCTGTAAATACCTCGACCGAGGTATGCATAATTTCTTCATGTCTTAATTTTATGCCGATGCTTACATAAATCGATAAGTTAGGGAGGTACTACCAGTACAATGGCCTGGTTGTGCATACCGCTAAGCCGGAACAGGCAGCCATTGGCTTTGAGATTACTGGTACCGGTTAACGCTGGCTGGAGCCCCAGCCGATTTCGAAGCCACGGTGGAATCTCCAAGCTGTCCAGAGCGGCTCTGTACACGGCAACGTTTCCTTCTCCTAGACATCCCTTCTTCACTTTTCCCCGACCATCTTCCCGAATCTGCCTTTTGCTTGTCTCGTATGCGGATTATTGCCATTACTACCCAGGACGCTGACCTCATCTTTCATTTTCCAACTCTTTCCATTGCTTCCTAACCTGTGAACGCGGCTTACTGTCACCCAGTTCTTCTACAGGCGGCATGCCACGCGGCTCCTCCAGCCATGGCTTCGCAATCTGCCAGCAGTGATACTGTTCCTGAGCAAATGGACATCAATCTTCAAATCGTCTCGCCATCTGTGGGCGTCAATCGTCCGCTTCAGTTTCCTGCCACGCCGGTGTCGACAACAATCAAGACGTTAAAGGGGATGATTCGCGACGCCCTTCCTCTACGACCAACCGATTCCAACCAGCGCCTCATTTACCGCGGCAAGGCTCTTCTGCGCGAAGATGAGACACTGCTCGATGTTTTCGGCGCCGAAGCTGTCCGAACGACCGATCACCACACGATGCATTTAGTCCTCCGAGATGTTGACCAGCCGCCGGTTCCAACGCCTACCACCGCCCCTCCCACCGCCCCCAGCAACTCATCGACTGGAAGCCAGCTACCACGACCAGCCACGCGGTTGTTCAACCACCTTGGGCACAGCTTGGGCGGAAACCCCGTGCCCGCTGCCGCTGGCGGCCCAGAAGCTGCCCAACCCGGCCAACCACAGGTGCAGCCCAGAATACCGTCCCCGGCGCCACTTGGCCAGCAGCTGCCCCCGCCCGCTGCAGCTGCTTTCCACCAGCAGCACCAGCAGCTCACCAGCTGGCTCAACCAGGTGCAGAGGGAAGCCATGAGCCGGGCCGTCAACCAAAACCAGCGAGGAAGAGCGCAGGCAGGCATGCGAGGGATTGCGGATGCGGCGCGTGACCCAAGCAGCCGCAGAGGCAGCCCGGCGCCTACACATACTATATACCGCGAAACACAGGGCCCGAACGGACGGACTTACCACATGGAGACCGTACTTCGCACTCCAGCATCGGCTGGCAGTCAGGCTGGAACTTATAGCGTGGCGGACATTCAGAATATGGTACGCAATGCGGATTCTGGCCTGACTACGCCAGGCGCGGGCGCCTCTATGCAGCGTACAGCATCTGCAGCTTCTTTACCGCCAAGATTTGCTCCTAGCCTTGTCAACTTGGCCTCGACACCTCAACAAGGGTTGCAGCCTCGAGAAGCTGTGGAATTATACCTTTTGTCCTCCCCTGAAGGTCCTCGTGGCATCCTGATGAACAACTCTACCATGGAAACCTTCTATAGACCGATGAATAGTCTTCCAGCGACTTCAACTACCGCTCCTTCTCAGGTTGCGTTCCGTGAATGGCTCTCGACGCCACCTGATGCACCCGGCTACGAAGATTCGTTTGTCGATATTCTCAATGAGCCACATGATCCAGCAAGGGACTCTTTCAGACGCCGAGCTTTTGACCAAGCTGCCCGCCAGAACCAAGCCCAAGTCCAGGCACCCATGCAGCAGCCTCCACCCCGTGGCATCCCACCAGAAGGGAGACTGAACCAACCTGTGGCCCAGCCTGCTCTGCAGCCTCTGCATGGCGGCAACCCAATGGCCGGTTTTGGCCAAATTCTTCTGCGATTGGCCCCCCATGTCTGGAATATTGTAAGGCTAGGTTTTTTCGTTTGGCTATTTGTCAACCCAGAAACGACTTGGACTCGATGGTTCATCGTGATTTCAGCAGCAATATTGACCTTCGTTGTTGGCACTGGTGCTTTCAATGGAATGGGCGAACACTTTTGGCGGCCTTTGATGCGGCATCTGGAGAACCTGTTTCCGACACTCGACAGACATGACCAACGACGGCCGGTCCCTGCTGCACAGCCCGGGGTCGACCCAAATCCTGCCGAGATGGCTGCGCGTCTCGTTGCAGATCATAACGAAAGGCATCCCTGGCTTTCCCAGCAATTACGCCGAGTTGAAAGAGCAGGCTTGTTGTTCCTTGCTAGCATTGCCCCTGGAGTGGCAGAGCGCCATATTGCCAATCTAGAAGAAGAGGCTCGACGAGAGGAGCGACGTAGGCGACAGGCAGAAGCCGAAGCTTCTGTAACGGCTACTCTGGCTAGAAACGCAGAGATAATGGCTCGCGAGAACGCAGAAAACAGTCAAGGAGATGTCGTTGCAGGGCCTTCTAGACAGGAAGCGAATGATGCGACTCCGGAGAACAACCGCGGGCCTGCTCCCGCCGGAAACTCGCTTGTTGCATCGTAAATGTGATCGAGAAGGCCTGTTACATGATGCATATATGACTTTGTTTGGATCCATGAGCGGGCGCATCACAACAGCAAAAGAGACTGTATTGGAGGATTCATGGATAACAACAACATTCTTACTACCACAGCTGTACGCTAGACGGCTTGATTTATGACAGAACACTAGTTAGACGCAGCCGCTGCAAAGCTTGAAAAATAGAAGCGATTGATTGTTCTACGAACGAGCGTTGAAGCGCCCATGGCAGTAACGAGCTTATCTTATCAGCAGTTTGGTGGGCAACAGCTATGTTGTATGTAAGCTTGTTCCACACTTCTAGAAGTAACAGGCAGCTCTTTGCCTTCGCAACACCTAAATCTATGAACAACGTTACACATGTCATTTTGAAAATAACTCTCCTGGAATCACAATTGCTGCGGTTGATTGCTTAACGGTTGATTGCTTAAAACTACAGGCATACCACAAAGGCCGCCATGAGCGGAGGTTGGAATACAAGTTAGTTCGAAGTTGAGCCGCGGCTGAGTTGTGCAAAGCCATTAACCATTGCTACTAGTTGAATCCGATGCAGTACGGCCACCATTTCTTCGCCCACGATGATCAAGAGACGGGCTGCTGACATGTTCGATAGGGTGTCTTCACCTCGCTGGTAGAGAATCTGGGCGTCAAGGATATACAATTCGAGGAGCTGCTCACACTCGACCCTACTGAGCTGCTTGCGCTGCAGCCCGTCCACGGCGTCATCTTCCTCTTCAAGTATCCGACCGACGCGCCCTACGCGACACCCGACGGCCCGCACGACGGCAAGTTCGATCATGCCGCGTCGGAGAAGATGTTCTTCGCCGCGCAGACGATACAAAACGCGTGCGCCACGCAAGCGCTGCTGAGCGTGCTGCTGAACCAAACCAGCGACGGCGCCGCCGCCGCCACCGGCGGCGGCGACCCTGATGACGGCTGCGCGGTCGACATTGGCGAGAAGCTGCGCGAGTTCCGCGAGTTCGCCATGGTGCTGCCGCCCGAGTTCCGCGGCGAGGCGCTCAGCAACTCGGACCTGATCCGCGAGGTGCACAACAGCTTCGCGCGCAGCTCGCCCTTCGTCGACGAGACGGCGCGCGACCCGAACGCGGAGACGGAAGACGCCTTCCACTTCGTCGCCTACACGCCCGTCGACGGCACGCTCTACGAGCTCGACGGGCTGCAGTCCGCACCAATCGCGCACGGCGCGTGCGCGCGCGACGAGTTCCCCGCGCGCGTGGTCGAGGTCCTGCAGCGGCGCGTCGCGCGCTACGCCGCCTCGGAGATCCGCTTCAACCTGCTGGCCGTGTGCCGCGACCTGCGGGTGCGCGCGCGCGCGTTCGGCGACGAGGAGCTGTTGGAGCGCGAGCAGCGCAAGCGGAGGGATTGGCGCTTCGAGAACGCGCTCCGGAGGCACAACTTCGTGGCGTTTGCGGGCGAGGTGCTCAAGGGCGTGGCGGCGGATCGGCTCAAAGCAGGTGGTGACGAGGCGGTCGAGGCGTGGGTGGACGGCGGGTTGAAGAGGAAGGTCGCTGCCGAGGAGGCGGCGCGTGCGCGGACGGCGGGCGATGGGGACGTGGACATGAAGTAAGACGAAGTCAAGTATGGGCAAGGAAAAGGGGCAGAGGTCGAATGCTGCGGTAAGAACTGCAAATGCTTCTACGATTCTTAACGATATACCCATTTTGCCTACAATCCTCACGCAAATTGTCATGTACGTTCTCTTTTGCTTCGGTCTTCCATCTCAAGCTATGTAGGTATGATGTGTCTCTGGTATTTCCTACAATAAGCCCTACACGCCATATCTTTTCTGCTAGTTACCATGCCCTCAAATCTGTTATCAAATTCTCAGTCATCTAGGAACCCTTCGTCTTTCGTCAAACATGCTAAATAGGTTACTCGACACTCTGGTCGCACTTTTTTACTTCTCGCCACTCTCATCAAAACACACGCCTCAGTCTGCCCTGCTCTTGGTGGTCTCAGCCACACTCACAATCCCTTTCCTGCCCACCGACCTCGCGCCTCGGCACTGTCTCTTCTCTCATCGCGACATGCGAGTCATCTGCTCCGGGGTCGGCCGCGAGAGGATTGGCTGCTCGGCCACCGTCGCCGAGCCGCCCTTTGCGGAGGACGAGCGGTCCGGCGAGTCACCGGAGAAGGAGACGACGCGCTCCTGCTGCGGTGAGCGGAACCCCGGCTGCCCGTTGCTGGTGGTGGCGGGCATGGCGCCGTCGCGAGCCGCCGCCTTCCTGCGGCGGCGGCGCTGCTGCTGGCGGACGGCGCGCACGAACCACGGCGGCTGGCCGGTGCCTTTCCAGCTCCAGTACTCCTTGAGCTCGTACTCGCGAGGCTCGCAGCGGCCACCGGAGATGCAGACCACGGCGCCGATGAGCCCGTTGAGCACGGTGTAGACAAAGATGCCGCTCGTTCATGTTAACGCAGTCTTCCTGGGGCTTTGGGGCGGCGGGGAGGAACTTACGCGATGAGCCCGTACGCGACGCTGTAGCTGAATGGGATAAAGGTCATGACGACAAAGGAGGGCAGGACGTCACCAATATAACGCCAGTTGATCTGCGTTATCTGTCGAATCATCATGCAACCGACCTACAGGCTGTCAGTGATTATTGAAGACTGGGTGGGATGAAGAGGATCAACGTACAAGAACCAAGGTGCAGCCAGTGGCCCACGGTGGGATGGAGGCGAAGATTGGTGCAAAGAAGACGGCCACGATGAAGCACAGGCCCGTGACGATGGCCGTCAGCCCGGTGCGCCCGCCCTCGGCGATGCCGGCGCCACTCTCGATAAAAGCCGTGACAGGTGAGGACCCGAACAGCGCCGCGATGGAGATGAATGCGGCATCGGTGCAGTATGCAATGGTCGAGCGTGGGAAGTCACCGTCCTTGTCGACGACGCCGCAGAAGCGCACCATCGAGTAGAGCGTGGCGGTGGCGTCGATGATGTCGACATAGAGGAACGTGAAGAGGGCGAGGGCAAAGTGCGATCCGCTCGTCTGAATGTCCCACTCGAGCTGGTTGGCGACACGGGAGAGCGGGTGCCACGCGACGACCTGCCGGAAGAACTCGAAGCGCGAGTTGCCTTCCTTCGTGTCGGGAAAGTACGTGACCGCGGTGTTGCGGCTGGAGAAGATCATTAGATCGGGGCGAATAAGAAGATATAGTAGGATACTCACGGCCAGGAAATGACGGAGACCAAGGCGATGCCGATGACCAAAGCGTACTTGACCCGGTATGCCATCAAGAAAGCGGTAAAGATACCGCCGCAGAGAACGCCAAGCCAGAGCTTTCACAAGGTTAGCGTTTTTCCTCCGCTGAAGAGGAGACTATGAATGCTCACCTTCGGACTCGACATCACGCCGGACGTACACATGCCACTGTCGGGATCGAGCAGCTCCGACGGGCAGCCTCCCAACGTAAGCGGTGAGCCGCCGCCACCGCCAGTAATGGCACCGATGCCAGATGAGTACGACAGGCCCACCTCGGTCAGTAGGAACCCGATGCCGACGCCCGTCGCGGTCTTGAGCGTGGCAGGGATGATCTTGACGAGCCATTGCCGCATGCCGGTGAGCGCGAGGAGTATGAAAATGAAGCCTTCAATGAAGATGGCGGTTAGGGCGGTGCGGTATGGGACGGAGCCGGTACCGTTGACGCCGACGACCTGGAATGCAAAGTACGCATTGAGGCCCATACCAGGGCTTGAAGATGGTGAGCAGATGTACGGTAGTTGGCAGTTATGGAGAGGGATCAGACATACGCAATGGCGACGGGGAGGTTCGTGAGCAGGCCGAAGACGAGGGATGCCATGCCGGCAATAGCAGCGGTGGCCGTGATCAGGTCGCGTCGCACCTCTGAAGGGGGTTAGCAGGGCTTACGAAAGGTTGACTCTTTCCACATACCTTCTTTGCAGGCTGCAAACTCGGGAATGGTGTCACATTGGTGCCTGTCGACCAAGTTGCATTCGCATGTGCCGCCTGTTTGCGAGAGCATGGAGGCCTTGAGCGAGTGTTAGTGATGGTCGGCAGCAGCGTTGACCGATATGGGCAACTTACATTGACTGCGATGATGTATGCCATGGTGGCAAAGGTGGTCAACCCTGCGCGGACTTCCTTGAACGCCGACGCCGTGACAATCTCGTTGGCCTGGTCTTTGGTCAGAATGGGGGTTGTGTTTTGTTATGTTCCGGGGCGCACTTACATGACCACTGCCACCGAGGTGGAAAAAATGTCCGAAGCGGGATGCTGAGAGCCATAAGTCGGCGAGGTCACAGAAGTCGCGCAGACCACAGAACCTGGAGCGTCTAGCAGAAGGCTCGTGGGATTCGACCACGAACTCGTCATGGCTTGGTTGCGACATGCTTGCGACCGACTGTGTGAGTAACAAGCGTGCGCACTTGGTGTTGGTCTTGGGAGGAGCACACTGTAGCGGAACGCAATACGGCCTGCTGCGGTGCAATAAAGAAAAGCTGCCAAAGGATAGTTGAGGGGTGGAGAAATGCTGAGAATATGCAGAGGTGAAAGATGGAATAAAGCGACCCGGCTTGGTGAGTTTGTGTGCAGGACAAACGGACGAGTTGATGATGGAGGAGTGGGAGGATGAAGAAATAGGCTGCTACCGAGGCAACCAAGACTTTCACAGCCAGCAAAGGGAATGATGAGATGTTTTAAAAAGCGGGGAAAGGAGAGTCTGCCAGCTGGCAAAGAAGACAAACGGTCCGGCAGTCTTATAGAGAACAGGAAGAGAGAAAGAGCTGTATGTGGTGTCTGTGTTTGTGGTTGTGGAGGAGGCTGGGAAAGCAGTAGGATTGGCACCTCTATATCTCAGTATGAGAACGACTATTACTACTTGTCGAAAGTTCAATTACCTTTAGATTGTTTGGTCCTCAAATCCCTTCGCAAAGGAAAATTTTCGCGCAAAGGGGTTGGGTCCAAACGTCTTCTGCTAAAGAGATTGCAATATGATGCCCTTTGTACGATGCATGAGGAGGAGAGCCTTGCTAAGCAAAGTAGCTACCCGGGCGCAGAAAAAAAAGAAAAGTCCATCGCTATATGGCAGCAAGTACAGAAAGCAAAGTATTGTTTGGAATAATGGTCTGGGCGTGCATAATCGCCATGTGTAATCGGCCTCGCCGCATACAATGGTGAGCTGCTAACGACCTGTTCCTGCATTGAAATCCGACATGTTGCCACAGGCCGACATGAGAGACAGCCTCTTTGTTTACGCCACACATCGACCCTACCTTTCTAATGTCTCACAAACCTGTGGTACTGTAAGTGGGATATTGGTGCGATCTGTGTGGTAGGGCGTTCAGCCGGCTGGCCAGGCACCAGGGAAGCGAAATGTATGTCTCCAAGTACAAGGACTCGCTTACCATTACTCTGTAGGAAGCATTCCGGCGGCCCCCTTCATGAATAAGGAAAGAAGACCTTGTTTTGGTAACTTTGTCGAGGATGAATTAATGTTTTCTTGGGCCGTGTCACGTCGGCTGATGCGTGTATCATTCGTTACGGCCGCTCTATTGAATCCTGCCACCCGGCGTGCGACAAGAGCAGCAGCTACCCGGTGCCCCAAGCGGCGATCAAGAGGAGGCTTGTATAGATTTGGATAAATTGTCGAAATTAAAAGGGGATAATGTAGAGCAAACATCTCAGAGCAGAAGTAGAAGCAGAAGCAGAAGCAGAAGCAGCAGCCCTTGTTCTGAAGACAGAAAAAAATACCGAGACGAGAATACGATACTCAAGTTACATAAAACTCTGCCCATGTTTTACCTACATACACCTACAATGTAATACAGGTAGTCAAGGCCTACAGGTGAACGAGTCTCCATCTTTCTGTTTGCAAACGCGCCGCTCGATCACTCCTGACTGCACGACGTCAGACGTAACTCAGCAGCGCGACAGCTTCCCGGGGGATGGAATCAAGAGCAGATCTTTGATCAAGTAGAAGAAATACATACGAGAAAAAGCAGCGAAAAACGGAAGAGATGCAGATCATAGTGGGCAACGCAGTTGATATTGACATCGTACCGTGCGGTGAGACCCTCTGCTCCTGCTCATCAGCCGTCAGCCACACGCCAGCTGTCGGTACAATATACACTGCTTACATCAGGTTAGCAGATTCCATCCTTCCGTGACCAGCACTTCAGATGCAGCTCAGCCGAGTATGCATCACAGCGGTGCACCACATCACTTCGGCGTGGCACCTCCCGGATGGCAGCATCTGATGTGACGGCAATCATCTGCACCGTGCCCATTTCCAAGGCGAACTGGCCAGAGACTCTGCCACAAACCGATCCTGGTGTATCCCATCCGCAACATCATCGTTTGTCAGCCGCAGTCGAGTGGCGGGGAATGTGGTCTCCCGGCTCGCCACAGCACTCAAGCTCAAATAGATTTATGAACGACTCCTGCGACGCTTTCTCGCCTTCATCTTCTCCGCAAGACATTTCAATTCAACACGAACACCTTTAGCTGGGACACTGCCTGATTCGGAAAACAGTCGCTTGCCGCTGCTGTGACACCCATGCCCCCGCCTCATCGACGGCTGCACCCTGGCGAGATTTAGGCTATTCTTCGTGCCCAACTGCCTTCCCGGGTAGCAATATATTACCAAGGCCCATCGTCTAACTCCGTCTGCAATCATCCATAAAGATGTGGGATGTCGTTTGGACCGACCCCAGCAAGGAGTTGGTTGGAGAACATCGGGCCAGAAAAGGTCAACTGAGGCAGGACAAGGAACAGAGTAGCATCCGCTCAGGAAGAGATTCGGCTACGACTTCGTCTTCAAATTCATCCTCCGAGTCACCATTCAGCTTTTTTCGGTCTAGAAGCGCCAAAAACGCTGGCATTTCGAAAGGGAAGGACACCGATCGCTGCCCGTCGTTTTCTGGTCTGGCCACCCCGAGCCTCACCTCCACCCTTTCGCCTTTCTCGCAGACCTTCGACTCCTCAAGTCGAAGAAGCTCAGGCATGGTGACCACGGCACCTACTTCGCCCAACAAGGATGGGCCCGAGGCTCCCTTCTCTGGTAGCGATCGTGACACGCTGCCAACCTTTGATGGTAAGGATTCTCACTAAAAGATAAAAAAAGCAATGGCTAACAGTCTTCCTCTATAGAGTGTCTTGCGCAGTCGCTTGGAAGTATCGATTCCATCACTGCCAACGTGGCAAGCTCCGGACCGAAGGGTAGCAGCACTGAGGCGCCTAACATTGGTGCCCTGATCCAAATGCTGGGCGACTTGCCACTCAGAGTCGACGCCCAAGACGTACCATGTTCGACCATCCCAAACCCGGAAACTTCTTCCAAGGCCAAGGGAGAGATACCATCAGTTGGTGCTCTGCTTGACACGCCGCCAAAGTCACCCTCCAAGCTGTATGCGAATTGTCCAGAATACTTCCTGAGTCATGATGCTAACAGCCCTTGTAGCATCGAAGAATCCTGCCGCTCAGAAAATCTACCGGAGTCGCCAGTGATTCTAACGCCACCTCCAAGATCGCCCCGGCGACCCGTGCCGACGCCCTTGGAGATCAATAACCCTGCGGCCTGGCGAAGCCCATCACAGTGGAAGGATCACGATGCAAGGCAGACCAGGAGGGCCGCTAGAAATGTCTCAAAGAAGGTCGCAAAAAAAGAAAAGGTGATCATGACGGAGGCATTTGCCGTTCCCAACGGGATGACTGGTGCTCGATGCGCCGCAGGGGCACCAACTGCTATGATCTTGGCAAAGGTCAAGAAGGTTTTCGCATCCAGGTCTGATGAGGACCAGGAAGTTGGAACAGAGAATTCCAAACAACATTGGATGCTTTCTCTTCTTCATGGTCTTGGCTATATAGCAGACCATGACGAAGACTGCCACAACACGTCCCTTCCCGCCACAGCGCTGGTTATGCTGCTCTACGAGCCAAAAGGTAGTTACGGCTCGTTCCATGATAGGGAGAAAACGCTAACAGTTGAAAGCTTATGCAACGTACATCAGTGCTGTTCACCCAGAGACACAGGTGTATCACCTGAACCGGGAGAGCTCTGTGGTCAGCTGGTCGAGCAACGTCCAACGCATCCCAGCACCACCGGTAGAGTCGACGCGCTTCCCCATGGCACTGGGCCTATTCCAGACAGTATATTCGTTCTCACTGCCGTCTGGATGCCCGTACCATGTGCTCCCCAACGTGCTGAGTTGTGTGCATAAGTGCCTGAAGTTGGGCGGATCCTTCAAGCTCACAATTATCGATCCGCTACCGTATGCCGAAACGCTTGGCCACAGACTCCGGTTTTGGATGGAAAGGCACCTTTTCCCCAACCTGGAGCGCAACTCGCGCTGTCTGGAGCCTAGCAGGCTGTTCCCGAAACTGCTGGGCGACGCCGGCCTTCGGGGCAAGGGGAGCCGCCGCACAAAGGTCAAGTTCTTCGCCTTGCAGGAGAACGCGCGCGGCCTCGACGTCCATCGCGACCCGGACCCCAGCATCGAGAGGATGTACCAGGAGCAGCGCGACAAGGCAGAGCTGCGCAGCCTGGTCGGGCGCATGTTTTGGATGGAAGTCTGGGGCCCGTACGTCACACCAGGCAGCACCTGGTGGTGGGATGACCCATCGTGCGTGGAGGAATGCCTGGAGCTTGGTACCTTTTGGGAGTACCACGTTATCGACTCCGTCAAGTTCGAGCAGAATGTTGTCTGAAAAGAGACATTCTGCGAATATGCGGAAGGGAGGGGGAGCTAATTTTCATTTACCAGCGGGAAACAGAAGTGTGTTTTTTATCTTGTTGAGTTTCAGTTGATAAGGGTCAGAGTCAATATTTTTTGTTGTTGTCAAAATGTTTTTGTTTGTCGCGAACAGAATCTTAAGCGTAACGAACCATGACGATATTTACATATGAATAGACAATGAAGAAAAAGATTTTGCCAACAAAACCTGCTTTATTTCCGAAGCTTTCGTGTCCTGCAAAATACGGCTGCGCCCGTCGCCTCAAGTTAAGCATAGCATAATAACTTTATGCGCTGTTCGTCCGGCGGCCAAACTTATGGCAATGCTATGCAAACATGGATGAGTTTGCACAACCGTCACTAGTCAGATCAAGGCAACAGAACCTTTTCAGGAACTTTTTCTCCGGATGAAAAAAAAAAAACCAGCACAGCCGCTTGGGGCGGGGTCTCTGTTGCTCGTTGAACAGAAAGCCCGCAGAGCATGCCTTGAACGCCGTCTACCACCCAACGCAGTGATGATGCTCGTTTACCAGCTTGTTGATCTACTAGTACTCAGCCCTCTCGATGGACAGTTTGTTCCAGTTAGATAGACTAGTATAAAAAGAACTAACCAATGGCTCACAACCCGCATTTTGTTGCGCCTGAATCAACACCCTTGTTTGGAGGCTTGCGCCAGGGGCGGCGGGGCACCTGGTCCAGGGTTTGCCGCGCCGCACTGACACAAGGACGGGGTAAAAGATGGGCTCCTCCTCGTTCCCTCTTCCCGAAAACTGGTTCTTGGATACGACGACACGGACACGGATGGGGAGAAGTCTTCAAAAGGATACTAGTTTGTGTACTTCCTCATCTGACAATGCGGGGGCGACCGAATGAACTGGTGTTCACCAGATGTCAGTGTGGCCCAGATAGTAGTTGAGGTGAAAAAATGTGATTGATCAAGTTTTTGTATTTTAAGTCCGCCGCTATTTTCGAAAAACAAAAAGGTATAGTAGAAAAATAAGCGTAAAGGGGTCGTAAAAAGTATGTACATGGAAAAGAACAGCAGCCGCCGGTTTGAAAGGAAAATGTTCTGTATATCCACATGAAGAAATCGTCGTCAGAGACGCGGCACATTCCATCTCAAAAAATTGAAACAGATAGACCGTGAAGAAATCTCGCAACCAAATTAAAATTACGGTTTTAGTAGTAGGGGAGTCAATCGTTCGAGCCAGAAACAAAAAAAGCGAAGCCCGGAAGATCTGTTAGTTCCTCTGGCCATCTGCCGAGTTCGTCCGCGTCGTCGATAGCTCTGTGGCGCTCTCGCTATCGAATGGCTTCGCAGGCGTCGGCTTCGATGATGCGCCAAGGAAGCCGCCTCCCGCGCCGAACCTGCTCTTTTGTGCACCCGCGGTAGGAAACGACGACGCCGGGTACTCTGAGTGGCCCCCACGTGCGCCTGATGTTGAGGGGCCGTCGACGAGCTCCGTGATATCGGGCCGGTTGCGGTAGCGCAGATCCTGGAAGAAGTTCTTGCACGCCGCCCACGAGGTGGTGGCATAGATCACAGCGTTCCAGAATCCCTGCAGCGGTAGCACAAAGGCGCTCATGAACTCGAGGACGATGCTGATCTCGTTCTTGTGAATAACCGAGTACACGCGGTTGGCGCTCGACGGGATCCAAGTGATAAGGATAACAGTAAAGAAAAGGATAGAGCACTTGGTGTACGACCACGCCGCGTTGTTGAGCTCATGGTTGCGGCGGCGATGCGGATTCGGCACACGGGGCACACGGGGCGGCGGCTGCGGCCGCGTGGTAAAGCTGCTGATGGGCTGCGGCGTAGTCGTCGGCAACGACGGTTTAGGGGGCTCATCGCGGCCCTGAAGCGGTAGCTCCACGTCCTCGGCCGAGTGAACAGAGCCGATCGAGTGCGAGGTGACATGGATAGAGTACGCGCGGTTGTCTTCGGGCGAGGGCTTGGGGGGCTGCGCGCTGATGGCAGTGTGCCGACCAAACGGCGCGGGGGCACCGTCGGCGGTGTTGATGGCCTCGCTGGTGATGGTGACCTCTGTGGTCCTCACCGAGTAATGCGCGTCACCGTTAACAGACAGAGGGTCTGGGTCGGTGGAGGAGTGGAAGTCGCGCAGCTGCTTGCGCTTCTCGTAGATGGTACGGCCGGCGCGGATGTAGACGAAGAAGGTGATGATGATGACGACCCTAATACGGATTAGCAATGCGACGGGCAGATAATGTGGGTGAGTATCAAGGAACACCATACCAGACAGGACCATAGAACGCTGCAATACGCCAGATATCCCAATCTGACGAGATCCAACACCAGAGAAGCGCGTTGCCATAGACGCGGACGCCATGCTGGTTCTCGACAAAGATGAAAACAAAAGCCGGGATCAATGGTACACCGTAGCAGAGCACTAGGTATGGGATTTCCATCCGTCTCAAAGCAACGGCATCGAACTTGTAGTAAAAGGTAAGATAGACATTGACAGCCATGGCCAGTGTCCAGAAGGCATCAGCCGGCATAAACCTGCGACGTAGCCTGTGTTAGTGACCGCTTACAAGGGTCAGGTTTGTCGAGATCAAATGACACTCACATCTGAATCAAAAAGGCTTGGAACTGACAGCCGGCAGACAAGATGTCAGTCAGGTAGGACCGTGACATGAGGGTGCCGACGTTGGTCATCATGTTGCCAAAGGACGCATAAAAGACGAGCCGGTTGATGGGCTTGTGGAAAGCACTCGAGCTGCAAAACGTGACAATCGTAAAGAGACATCCAAGGAGCGAAAAGACAGAGCAGGCTCTCTCGATAATACTGATGGCATCGAGCTGCCCTGCGGTGAGTGTCGCCGGCATGGTTCTATCGGCGGCTCAAGAGCCAGAGAACGAAGGGTTTTGCAAACGGACGAGATCTGAAGTGGTTCGCGGCGCGGTCAAGGTGATGTGCCAAGATTAAAAAAAGGAAAGCTGATATAGATCGAACATCAATATAGGAGAAGAGGGGGGCAGGATGAAGGAGAGGAACCACCAGCAAAGGAGACGGAAGACTTTGAAACGCCTTGCCGATACTGAGTGTTTGAAAGAAGGAATCGCAGGATGCAATCGGGGTGCGTTTGGTGGAGTTGGGGCCAGGCTATATGTATTTGGAGGCCATACTGGTTCCTCGCCGACTTACCTAGCAACAACTCGGTGGCAATTTATCGCAGCAGAATGCAATCTATCTTGGTTCCTCTTTGTGATTTTTTCAACAAAGTGTGCATTTACTCGCAAGACAAGAGCCGGCCGGGGCAGGCCAGGCAAGACAACGAAATATCCCACCCAAGGATATGGGTGGACCCAAGAACTTGCCGATGGCTTCCTTTCTCCGTGGTCCCACGATCACGACTCCCCGGTTTGCGGGCCCCGTTTTCGAGCCTGGGCATCAAGCAAGGTGCGTATCCCACTCTGGCCGCTATGGAGAGAAGTGTTGATCGTCCTCGGCGGAACAGGGGCGGGAGAGGAAGAGGAAGAGGCAGAGGCAGAGACAGGAACAGAGACAGAGAAAATGGCTGCTCTTGATCCGGCTGCGACGTCTGCCATCCCACCACGCATGTGACGGGAAGCGAACTGCCGCTTCCCTGTCCCCCCTGCTTCATGCCACATACTCGGAAGCTGGCTGACAAGTTCTACAGGGGTTCTTTTCCAGTTCATTGGCCTTCCGACGCTACCTTGCCTGCATATTGGAACTCTCAAACGACTCGCCGACGCACCTCGATGACTCGGTCTCTCAGCCACCCAGCCTGCCGCGCTCCTGTGCTCGGGGACCTCCTCGACCACAACCGAGCTGCCAGCCCAACCAAGCCAGCTATGCCATTTATTAGTTCGCCCGCCAAGATGGTGGACAGAGACAACTTCATAACCGAGCCAGACTATTCCCCTTCTTCAGAGCGCAGAGACACATTGAAAACAGGAAACCCCTTTTGGTGAAACAGTTTTCTGGGGAAGAAGGGACCTTTCGTCTCAGGCACCAGTCATCTGGCCCGCGACACCAGCGACCACTAAACCGTCGTACCGGATAGGCTGATAGACTCGAGCCAATGGGCTCCCCCCAGTGCCAAGAGAGAAACGACAAGTGCCGATCGTAGCATCCCCAATCAACAATGGACCCATATGTGTGGAAGCATCGGGGCCCAGGTTAGTCGGTTTTGGGCATTGGCTCTTCCGGGGGGTCGATTCCGTCGAGGCAGACCTCCATTTAATTCCTAACGGGCGGTTGGCAGGCAGGCGAGCAGGTAAACAGGCAGTTATAGGCCAGTGAGCCGGTTGACAGGCACCGCGGTTTTCATATCATCATCGTCTCTTTTCGAAATTGCCACCACTGGCGTCTCTCCACGACCTGACCAGCGGATCATTTTCTTCACATCAATCTCCTCGGAGGGGCGAGAAAACAAAGGGTGGCGTCGGTTCAGCCCAAAAGGACAGATCACCGAATGCCGCCGAGCAAATGCATTGGGGCGACGAGAAGGCTGAGGATTTTGCTTCTGCGGCCTCGCTGCCGCATTTTTCTTACTGCTTCCTTCTTCCTTCTCCCTGCCTTCTTCTACAAGTCCTGGTGGCCGACCCCCTTTCTTCGGTGGCGTCCAATGTGGGCTGTTGTCGGCATGGCGACTCACGAGGGCTTGATTACTCTGCAGCCACCGCGGCCAGTGAAATGAGTGAAAAACAAGCAGCAAGACATCGCAACGGTGTGCCGCCCTAGGCAGGGGTTCCAAACTCTTGCTGTCTGTGCGCTTCATGGGCCGTCCAAGGCCCGTAAAAGTGATCGACACAGGTGGCAGAAACGGCCTGCCAATTTTTCCCGCAAAAGCAATTCTCTTCGGCCGGTTGACCGCCGTTGGTGATGCATTCAATCTTAACAATGGCAGGAGTATTGTCATTTCGTCCGCCCCATGGCATGACTCCGAAACGGTTGAGACAGTTGAGTCCTAACTTCTAAGCGAAAGGTGCACTATCCGACCCTGCTCTCTCTGCATTACATCGTTGGTCCAAGTCGATGGACGGACCCCATTCCAGGAAACCGTGCCCCAGCTAATGCATCTCATCTATTTTTTGGCCGACTTCCCAGCCCATCAACACTTCAGACAGGATCGCCCGCAACAAGCGGAGCTTACCTCTGAAGCTCAAAATCTGCCGTCTCGACTCCCAAAGACTCAGTCGGCAATGACGGCGAGGGACAATCATGTGACTTAATTAATAATACGGGCCGAACCCCAACTCGCAACTTCTTTAAATGAAGCCAATCCCATCTTCTCCTAGTCCCTGAACAAGGCGAGTTCGATAGTCACGCCACTGATATTCTGGACCTCTCGCAGTATGCATGTCTCTGATGCCTTCATTGATTTGTGAGTCTCTAGGAAGAGCTCCCCGCGAAGCGCACTAGCAATGAGATGCTTGTGATCTGCAATGGCCGTGTTCAGACTCAGTCCTTCCGAGTCCGCCAACACTGCATACGCCATCCGCACATCCTCCGTTGGCACTAGGTTGGCCTGCTTTCGCAATTTCTGAACTCGGCTTATGAGATCGCGGACCAGCCCCTCTGCCTCCAGCTCCGCACTCGATTCGATGTCAAGTAGAACCATCACACCATCACCAAAAGTTGCTTCCCATCTTGGCTTGCCGTCTTCCCCGTTGTTCCTCTGCCGGACTGATCGTACCAGGGTAATGTCCCCGTCCCCAAGAGTGACCCCTGCGATTTCAAGGACCTTGGTTTGCTGGAAAGTGCGTAGTTGATCTTGAGCCAGTCCCGGCAATGCTTTTCGAACGGACTGGACCTGCTTCTTCAGCTTCTTTCCGAGTGTGGGCCAATCAACCCTGGCTTCGAGTACAACATCGTACTTGGCCTCGTCAGAACTCAGAATTACCGTATGAATGTTTAATTCTTCCTGCACGTATCCTGAAACCGATTCCAACTCTTTCAGCTGGCGCTCGTCGGCGATGACTACAGCTCTCGAAAGGGGCGTCCTCAAAGATATACCATTGCGTTCACGCGCCACACGTCCAAGTTGAATGACTTGCTGCACAAGCTGTACCTTTTGCTGAATGCCTTCGTCGAATAAATCGTGCTGGAGGGTGGGGAAGGGTAAGAAGTGTACACTGCGTGAATCCTGGAACTGGCTAAGAACTGGAGCAAGATGTGGCTTGAGCAGCCTGTATATGTGTTCGGTAATAAATGGTGTAAACGGCGCGAGGGTTCTTACAAGGGTGAATAAAACTTGCAACAAACACTGAAGGGCCGTAAAAGTGTCGTTTTGATCGAAGCTAGCGACACCCTTGAGGCGCTTCCGGTTGCATCGAATGTACCAGTTTGTGAGGCTGTCAATAGTTGTCACCAGACGCGGAACCACGGTAAAAAGACGATAGGCTAAAGAGAATAAGTTAATGAATATCAAAAAGGGGCTTTTGAACCTTACCAGCCATTTCTTGTTCAACAAATTGCAGGAGACTTTGGCAGTGGGCAAGTATCCAGCGATCCATAACGTTTGCCAAGTCGGTGGCGGCAAAGTCAGGGGACATGACCAGGTTCTCCCCATGGTTAATCTTGTATAAAGCTGCTTGTTCCGAGAAGAAGCGATAACTGTTCCATAATGGCAAAAGTACGCTGGAAATGATTTCCTTGACACCGGCCTCCTTGAAGCGCAGAGGTTCCGCCTTGACGACCGGTGAACTGATCAAATACAGTCTGAGAGCGTCTGAGCCATAGTCGTCAAATACTCGAGTCGGTGCAGGGTAGTTTTTGAGACTCTTTGACATCTTCTTGCCGTCTTCGGCAAGGACCATGCCATTGACTAGCACATTTTTGAAGGGCGACTTCTCAAACAGCAAGTTCCCAAGGACAGTCAGCGTATAAAACCAGCCGCGGGTTTGATCTAGGCCTTCGGCAATGAAATCGGCAGGGAAATGTCCATTTTCGAAAGCGTCGCTGTTCTCAAAGGGGTAGTGAATAGAAGCGTACGGCATACATCCAGAATCGAACCTAGGAATGGTTAGAAGATCTCATCTACTTTAGGTTCTATTGAGGGAGAGGCTTACCAGCAGTCGAGAATCTCGCTTACTCTATGCAGCCGGCCCTTACCACTTTTTGATGGTATCGTAATGTGGTCAATTTTATCCCGATGAAGGTCGTCGAGTGGTCCATCGTAGCCACTCAGACGGCGCAATTCCTCAATGCTACCAACACAGACAAGCTCCTCATAGTCATCGCTCGCCCAGATTGGTATAGGTGTACCCCAATATCTGTTTCGAGACACATTCCAGTCGTGGGCTCCAGATACCCAATTCGCGAAACGTTTGTCCTTCACAAACGATGGCACCCATTTTGTGCCCTGTAAGTTTCTTTGCATGGTGGGAAGATCCTCCGTGACTTTGACAAACCAAGAGGAGACGGCACGTCGAATGAGCTGGGTGTCAGAACGCCAGCAAAACTTGTCAGAATGCATAATCTGACTTTCATGAACAAGTCGTCCTGTCTTTCTCAGGTCCCGTAAAATGCCTTTATCAGCAGCTTTGACGTGCTGGCCGGCGTACTCGACGACTTTCGAGGTAAACAGACCCTTCTCATCTACTGGACATGGGGGAAGGCGTCGTGGAGAGATAAAGCCTGCCGCTGTTGCTGTCTCATAATCTTCCTCGCCGAAGGCTGGTGACTGGGGCACGAGTCCAGTACCTTCACAAGCTTCGACGTAGTCGGCGGCGATAATCTGGAAGCAATCGGAAAACTGCTCTGCAAAGTACGAGAAAAGTGGTTCGTATTTCCAGCCAACCATTTCATGGCCTTTCATTTTGCTCAGGAGCTTGTATTTGGCCTTGGCGGGGTCCTTGTAAAGCATCCTGAGGCCATTCTCCAGAGTAATGTAATGGCGACCGGTATTCTCATCCAGAATTTTGAGATACTCAAAATCTTTGTGAACAGCTATGAGAAGATTCGAAGGAAGTGTCCATGGCGTCGTCGTGTAGACCAGTAGTGACGTATTGCTGTGATCTGTCTGGGCCAGGACGGGGAAGGAGACCACAATGGCTGGGTCTTGAGTCATTCGCTCAGCCTGTTTGGATTCCATGTGACTCAAGGGAGTACAAAGAGCGGTAGAATAAGGCATGACTTGATACGATCGGTATACCAGGCCTTTGTCGAAAAGCCGCTTGAAGACCCACCATTCTGTTTCCATGAAGTTGACATCCATGGCCTGCCAGAATTAGCATGGAGATAAGGCTAGGCGCTGGTGAATACCGACCTTGTAATCATCGTCCATGTCAATCCATCTTCCCAAACGTCTGATGGTATCTCGCCATTCGGACGCATATCGCATCACGATGCCGCGGCACTCGGCGTTGTACTTGGCAACACCCATCTGCTGGACAGCATCTCTGCCCGACATGCCAAGGCGTTTATCAATTTCATATTCGACAGGTACACCATGGGTATCCCAGCCAAATCTCCGTACGACGTAGTACCCTTTCATAGACCAATACCGAGGTATGATGTCTTTGATGGTGGAGGTGAGGAGGTGTCCGTAATGGGGTAACCCTTAAGTGCGCGTGTTAGACGACGAGAGTCGGGACTGGGCAGATTAAGTTGCGGTGCGCACCGGTAGCTGTAGATCAGAATTTTGGTTAGCTATCTGTTATAATCGAACCGAATGCCAACAACCCTACCAAAAGGAGGTCCATCATAGAAGGAAAAGCGAGGGCCGTTTTCTGTGAGTTTAAGTTGTGTCGCAAAGGCGTCAATGTCGTCCCAGAAACGAAGGGTGTCTTCCTCAAGCTTGGAGAAATTGACACTCATGTTCACCTGTACATCGAGAAGAACCTCGGAAATGTGGTTTGGGGATCAAGTTCTGGGGGTTGGGCGTTGTAAACGGCGGCAGTGTTGGTGTCCACGTAGTTATAGAGCACTGAGCTTAACGTGACTCACGCTTAGTGCAGCGCTTACCCACCGAGACCGGCGTGAATGGTGATGCTCCGAAATCATTCTCGGAGTCATAATTTTTCGAAGAGAATTTTGTTTGATCGTCAGAAATTGCAGAATGGCTCACCCGATGAAGACCGGTGGAGGTGTGAACGCCGACCGGTCCATCCAGCACCTTGCTTGTTGTGGCCAGGGACTCCCCTCGTCGCGGACGCTCCTGCCTCGTGCAACATCCAGGACCTGCGTGCAACAGCATTCTTTGCCAGGATCTCTTCGTCTCTCACTACCTTTCCTATAATCTCAATGTCACCTTTTTGTTCCTATTTAGCCGAGGCTCACAACTTGGTACCTGCGATGGATAACCGTTCGCAAATAACAGTCTTAGCCAAGATATATTCAGCTCAAACACCGGCAATCTCCTAGGAGACGACAAACGAATCTTCGACGTTTGAAGACGACCTTGACCCAAGCTCTCCTCCCAAGAGCTTTTGTATTGCAACCTCAAGCCTACGATATCGTCTGCATAGCCAACCAAGCCGGCCAAACTCAAACGGATCGACCACCGAGGCTACCTTGCCGCATTGGAACGACGGTCAAACAGAGGCAGAAGACAAGCAAATAATCGGAATTATATCCTATAGCGTACCATACGAGAGCAGTGAAAATAACAATACTTTGATAGCCCTGTTGACAACTCTGCTGACAGCACTGCTTGTCGTCATGCCCGGATATGCCTATGGAAGTGCAGCATATGGCTCAGCCTCGTCGTCTGGTTATGGCTACACCACTATTGCTACAGGCCTTAAAGGGGCAGCAACTACCAGCAAGAGATCGCGCCGCAGCAATACATTTTCGTGGTTTCCCAACGGTTATACAGTCGTTACGGGTGGAAAGGTTCTCGACAAACCTTCTTCTTCTACGCACCAAGCAAAAAGCTCTCGACACAGAGCAGAAAGCGGCCCGCCATGGTCCATCTTTTCACCATTGCATTCCGGCGTCACTTCGCCGCTATCGAAAGTGTCGTTGGAGTCACCTCGGCAGTCGAGAGCTGCAGAGCTAGACTTGAAGCAAGTGCGAGATGGCTATCGACGATCTACAGCATCGCGCTCCGAAAGGCCTCGATATCGGAAATCAAGCGCGCAGAAACAAAACATGCGCAAGAAATCACACAGCGAAAGAAAGGACATTCCTAGGCAAAGTTTCGCAAGTCTGACATCCCGAGGCACTGCCACACCGACGATGTCGGAGCGACAGAGAAGGCAAATCAAGGCAATGGAGGGGAAGAAATCCAAGGGCAGCTACGGGCTATTTAGCTGCTTTGGACGTTGATATATTGGCGAATGGCGCTGCAATGCTGAACATGTGAAGGATGAATGCAGTTTTGTCGTTTTTTTGCACTACTGGTTGATGACTGCCAGGGGGTACTCGAGGTTTAATATACTTAGTTGTGATAGCTGTTACTTGAATTACAAATAATACATATGTTGCATTTCCAATTTATATTTTCTGCTCGTTTGCGACTTGATAAAACCATGGGCTTGGTATCCTGGCCACGGGAGGCAGCGGGACGGAATTGCGAAACGAATCGGGGCAAGGGCTTACTTTGGCCATCAAGGATCGGTCAAAAGGATCGATCGATAGAACACGAGGTACAACAGGTGAGGAGACTCCGACACAGGTCGATCAGGCTCCGCAGCTTTTCGAACCGGCACGTATGGGAGGATCTGCCCACCCATCATCCATCCCTCCATCCATCCTACCATCCTCTCAGCCAGGCAACGGATAAATTTCCGCCTCAGCGCGACGAGGTAACGAAAACGCCACGGCGTGAGGGCTTGCTTGCTGCGGGGTAGGCAACTTGTCACCAGCAAAAAAGCAAAGAGGCAGCAGCCCGCATACGCTTGATCCGCCAAGATTCTGCGGCGTGATTCTCGAGTCTGGTGAGACGCTAGGAAGTACCGTGGCCGAGTGGTGTGCGGACTGAATTACGATGCAAAATGGGCACTCTCTTCTGCAAGCCAGAGGGATTCATCACTCGGATGGCGTCTGTTGGTACACGCATAACACAACGCGTCCTTTGTCCTCGTCGCGATGATGAGCCATAACGCCACAAGCACCGGCCGCGTTTTAGCCCACCCACCTCTTCAGCCTTTTTTTCTTCTTCTTGTTCCTTCGTCACGGTTGACTGCTGTCTTTCTTCTGCAGAGGACGGCGGCGAGGCTGACGCCGCGGGGAAGCACGGGCTGCTGTGGACCACCCATCCCGCAACGGGCTCGCCCGCCGCAAGGGGGAGGAAACAAAGGACAAAGGACGCGGAAACAGCCCTCCAACTAGTTAGTCATCTCGAGAAGACGTGTCAACGGCGGGCTTGTTAGTTTGTTAGTTGGTAAGTTAGGTAGTGTATGCTAGTAGTTTGTGCAACTACGTAGCGAGGAAAAGGTGGAGGACCGGGGAAGGAAACCGTGAGGAGCCGACAGAGCCCATCGGTTGGTGGGTGATGGCACTGATGGGCCAAAAAGGCGTCGGCCTGCCTGGTGGCTCATATGGGCTGACACCAGCCGAGCTGGGGGGTTGATGGTCACTTGAACGTAAACTTGAGGAGTAACCCCCGCTCGGTTCGGTGATGTGGATGGGAGTTGCATCTGCACTGATGCCCCCATTTGCACCGTTGGGGTTGGGCGACTTGCCTCGGTTGGTATTGGTAGTGAGAAACGGCTGAGTTCCGGGGGCTCTGGCCAGACTTGCTGGCTTCGATCAATTTATTATTGACTGACTGGCGGCACATTTAGCCATGGTCAAAGCCCTTCGAGTCAGTCCGACAGCTGTCCGCTTATGCCATGCAGCACGCACTAGTTAACATAGCCGTCCTGCTCTCTGGTGCAAATCGCTGTAGAAGAATATGCATGATCCATCAAGTTAGCTACGTGTTATCCCCCTGCATTGCCCAGTGAGTTACAGACAAATGACCTTCTGAGGCGGCACTCGCTCCACTCCTAACCAAAAGTCTGCCTTGTAAGATGCAGATTCGTTATTACTTGCATTTCTTGTCAAACACAAGCGCCTTGCTCCATCTCCAATGGCCCGTGTCTTGTGCTACCCCGAACCTGGTGGTCATCCCATCCCCCCTGGCCGTCCAATCAATGTCCTGGCCATCCAATCAATGCCCTCTCTTCATCTGTCCCTCCCTCTCTCACATCACATCAACGAGCTGGAGCGAGACCCGCTGGCCTCTCTCTCTGCCCGTCAATTCTCACTGCGCAGCTCACAATTACAAGCTGGAAGCAACAAAAAGCTAGAATTGGCCGCAAAAGTACCCGTCGTCCCGCTGATACTGCAGCTCAATGAATCTGCAGACCCTTACCCCATTGAGTCGCATGCACTAACAAAGGTGCTTCCATAGCCTCACTACGTACATCTACCAAGTTCACCTGCATTATCTACCAAGTACAAGAACTTGCCCCCTCCCAGCCGGCGCCACGTCCGCCCCGACCCTGACAACTTTGTTCTGGGGCCTTCAAGTAACCGTGTACATTTCAGCGGGTTTATCGTACGCTTTTTTTTTCTTTCTTTTTACCCTTGTTCTATTTTCTTTTATCCCATAACTATTTTCCGAGAGAAGCTTTTTCCTCCGTCGCCGCGCCCCTGGCAGCAGGGTCTTGATGCACACAAAGATGACATTATGCATACGAATAAGCACAAGTCAAAGTCCAAATCGCACCGCTGGGGTGCCTGGTCGGAATGGACCTGGGATAGCAGCCAGCAGGCCAACTTTCGCGTTCGCCAGGATTCCCAAGGTAAGTACGTCACTTTGCGCCCAGACCACCGCCGCCTCCCCTCCCCGGACGAGAGACAAGCAAGGAGACAAGGTAGAGAGAGATTGGCTTGTCGAACAAGGGGAGGACTGCGGCTTGGACCCTACAAGCCAAAAATATCCTGATCAAAATATAACTGAGTATTCCCACGGGCTAGGCCATCTCGATTACGAATGGGATCAGCAAGACCTAAACCAACCAGGTCATTCCCGGACCCCTCGCGAAGCTCCAGTGGAGGACATAACAGATCGTCTCAACTGTTTATCAACCACAACAAATGAAGCTCACTGTATGAATATAATTTTTTCGCTGCATTTACACCCAGTACTTGAAGCCGCTGCGCCCTAGCTCTTGATTTACCATTCTTCCTGTTTCACACGCCATGCCCCCGCCACCCAGAGACAATGGCCCATCGTCTCCCACGTTTCTCTTGTTGCTGCTTGTCCTAGACACTGACGCATCGCGCGAAAGTCGAGCTGCCAGACGACTATGCTGCCTATGCGGGCGAGGCACCGCCGGAACAGGCCAAAGCCAAGAAGACCAAACTGAAGAGCAAAGACAAGGAAAAACCCAAGTCGCATCGCCGACACGCCAGCTCAGACGGCAAGTCTTCGGCCGCGTCGCAGGACGACACGGCACATCCACACAGTCCCGGCTTGCAATGTACGTTACACATGGCCAATCTGCGATACCCCCATCATCCGGCACGCATCTTACTTACCTGAACAAAAAAGTCGTTGAGTCCGCGCACGGAGACGAGTACCAACAGCAAGCCCCGACCGGTATGAATCCGCCACAGTAGTTATGTCGCGACCAGCTGCTGACGCTCCGCCGCAAGCCAACGTGAACTATTCGCAGTATGGGTCGGGCCGAGTCGCCTATTCCAGTGGTACGAGGATTTTAAAAGTTTGAGATTTTCGCCGGGGCTAATTGCATATTATTCTGAAGCATGGCCCTCCCGCGCGCGCAGATACGCCGCCTTCACCGATGAGAGCGAGGCAGCAGCGTCCTCCAGCCAGACCAGCTCGACGACGGCGGCACAGCAGTATGCCGGCGATGACTTTGACGGAGCGGCAGCACCCCCCAGACACGGTAACTCAATACCCAGCGGCGCGTGGAGGTTATTGTTAATCAAGGCCAAGGCCAAGTGCGGAGCGAATCGGACGGCGGCTCACCCACACCGCAGCAGTCTGAGACAGCCGAGACGGCAGATGCTGACTACATGCCCGAAATGGCAGAGAATGGCGAAACGGAGCTTGATCCACGTATTTATTCTCCCTGGTCGAATTGAACTCGAAAGCGTTCCTGACAGGCGAAAAAAACGCAGGGTATCAAATAGAGCACTCGGCACGCTTCCAGCCGGGAGAGGTAACGTTTCGGCGCTTTGGAAAACCCCTGTTCGCCTGGAGGAAATCTGACATGTTTCAACGGATAGATTTTCAAAGTGCACTGGTCCGAACCGCAGGGCTCGATGAGCGAAAAGCCCAAGTCGTCGTCATCCTCGTCCTCATCGTCGAAGAAACAAGACCTGGAAAATAAGTTCGGCACGAAATTCTTTGTCGGATTTCGGCGCTTCATCGTCGTCGCCAACGACCAAGGCCACTGCACCTGCGTGTAAGTCAACGCACCCTCTTGTGTCACACCCGCGCCAGCGGCCAAATCCTCGCTAACGCAAGCCCTTCTACTCCCCGTCACGCCGACGACAGGCCGATACTTACGTACGGCGGCAAGGGCTGCAAGAAGCACGGGGTCAAGCCCGAGAAGCACGGCATCGGCTCGCGCGCGAGTCGCGCGTCAACTACTCCAAGCTCGTCACCGTCGAGCACAACGTCAAGGTCTTCTTCATCGGCCACGTGTACCCGGGCGACTGGCAGATCGTGGGCGACGCGGTCAACTACTGCTGGAACAAGAAGATTCACCAGAAGCAGCAGCGTCACAAATAAAGATCCGCGGGCGGTAACCGGCGAACACATTGGAAAAGGACGAGGCTTGGAGGTTCAAAGCACACGCCGGATCTGAGCCGCCCTTACTAGTAGGTTACAAGGTGGAGAGATCTACCTGGCAGCTCTTTTACATACGTTTTATTGGCTCTTATTCACAAACGGGGTTTTCGTATCAGAGAGCCATGGCAGGATGACAGCATGCATGGTCTCGCTATACTTTCGATCATTGATGAGGTCAACGGGGGAGGGCCTGCTTCTAGCTGGCGGAACGGTCGGGGAGGCTTTCTCCTCTGTTCATCTTTTCACCAACATTCCAACTAGCATCATTTAAATCCATCCTCACTCAAACCCAACAACAAAGAAGCGCAAGGGAGACCTGGCGCGACTGGTAATCTTCTCCCCGGAGCCGGAAATCCCGTCCAGTTCCCCATCGGGTTTCTCGATGAGATGAGCATCTCAATGATGACACAATTGGCGGCCCGCTAGGCGCAGCTAACGCCATTGTTGGAAGTGAGCCCCGACACAGCAAAGCCATTTCCCCGGACGGCCCAAACTCCGCCAGTACAAGCCTCGGCTTGCGGCTCACCTCCCCGCAAAATCGCAGTCTGTTCTCCGTGTCCGATCCCTGAAGTCCACGGAGTTTGATATGGTTATAACCTCTGTCCCCCTGTTGCAGCATTTCTATAGATTTTTTTCCATCTCCATCTCAACTAAACAAAATCCTGTCTTCTACATTGACAATATTCTGCTTTCGTCTGTTGCTTTGCTCAGACTAGTAAGCATTTGTGCATCTTCAAGTTGGCGATCTAGCAAACAAGTGAGCCTCGGCTAGCTTCCACCCTGTTGGGCCGCCACCTTTAAAGCTTTTGACCAATTTGTCAATCAACCCTCCCACCTCATCACCAACATCTCCCAATAAACCCGCCAACATGTCCGAGGCTGTTCTGAGAGATTTCCCCTCGCTCTTCTCCCTCAAGGGCAAGGTCGCCGTCGTGACTGGCGGCTCCCGCGGCCTGGGTCTGCACGCCGCCTCTGCGTACGCCTTCCCTCCCTTCCCGTCCTCCAAGCTTCCCGCTTTCCCACCAACAAGCCAGAAACAGCTAACACAGTTTTGCCGACAACCTTTAGATTCCTGCAGGCCGGCGCCGCCAAGGTCTTCATCTCGTCGCGCAAGGCCAAGGCGTGCGACGAGGCCGTCGCCGCCCTCCTCGCGCAGCCCAACCTCGCTCCCGGCGCCGAGGTCATCTCCGTCCCCGCTGACTCCTCCACCCTCGCCGGCATCAAGCAGCTGCTCGCCGCCGTCAGCGCGCACACCGACCACGTCGACATCCTCTTCGCCAACGCTGGCGCCACCTGGGGCGCCCCCTTCGACTCGCACCCCGACGACGCCTTCGCCAAGGTCATGGACCTCAACGTGCGGGGCGTCTTCAACGCCATCCGCGAGTTCGCGCCGCTGCTCACGCGCCGCGCTACAGTCCGCGACCCGGCCCGCGTCATCATCACCTCCTCCGTCGCGGGGCTCGGCGTCGGCAGCCTCGGCGCTCACGGCACCTACGGCTACTCGGCGTCCAAGGCGGCGGTGCTGCACCTGGGGCGCAACCTGGCGGTGGAGCTCGGGCCGCGACACGTCACGGTCAACTCGCTCTGCCCGGGCTTCTTCCCGAGCAAGATGAGCAACGGGCTGATGGAGGCGACGGGCGGCGCGGCGGAGATGGCCAAGGGGAACCCGATGAGGCGCCTGGGCGAGCCGGAGGACATTGCGGGCGCGGTGGTGTACCTAGCGAGCCGAGCGGGCGCGCACGTCAACGGCGAGACGCTGGCGGTCGACGGTGGCTCGCTCTGGCAGCGTGGCGAGATGCTCTCTGCCAAGCTGTAGCAGGCGAACTAGTCAATGATACGTATGAAATACAACAAAGGTTGAAAAATGATGGAACTTTGCTCAAGTGATTCTTTTCCGCGTGTGTCTATATGCCGCTATGCAATCATCCATCCAGATGTCACACCATCAGGAGAGCTTATGACGCCTCCGTCATTGGCTTTCGCGCCAGCCACGCGTTGGCCCTATAGGTCGTCTGCAGCATGCTATCCCTGTCCTGTATGTACGGCGCCTCGATGCCCGTCCGCAGCCACTCGACCACGAACCCCAGCCGCGCGAGAAGCGCCATCACCTCGTCATTCGCCAGCTCGAAGCTGCCCGGGTCCGCGATGCCCGACGAGTTCCTGTGGTCGTGGTCGCCGTCCCCGTCATCGTCGTTGCCGTGGTTGCCCGGCGCGTTGTTCTCAAAGTGCCACAGCAGGGGGCCGACGTTGACCAGGACACCGCCCGGCCGCAGGCAGTGCCGGATCACCTCTAGGTAGCGGATGAGGTTGGGGGCCGTGTCGAGGAAGAAGGAGCACGCGACGGAGTCGTACTGGCCTGCGTGCTCGTCGTCGCCGTAGAGGCAGAGGAAGTCGGCGGCGCACATGGTCATGATGCCGCGATTGGCGACGGCGGCGAGCGCGGCCCCGGGGTGCACGTCCGGTACATTGTATCCTCTCAAGTGGTTCTCCCGCGTTAGATGGTTGGAAAACGTGTGTACCCAGGGGTAGATGGTGAACTGCTCTGGACCCTGGCACTCGTTCAGGATGAATGACGATGCAATGAGCTGGTGATATGAGATCTCATTGCCTTCTGCTTCGAACCCAGCGTGGCACAGGTCGAATACAAGCCTTCCCAGACCGGCTCCGGGGACCAGTACTTTGTAGAGTCCTTCATTTGCTGATTTGGACCTTTCCTCGGCGAGAGCCTTCATGATGGGCCCGTAGGAAGCCTCCCTCTCCTTCGCGCCGTCTGCGGTCCAGTCACGATAGAATTGGCGAATAGTGCTTCTAGCCTTGTCAATGTCTATGTGCTTGGCAACTCCAGCCCATTCATGCGGCATGGCCACGTCCGTAGCGCCGGGTGCATCTAGCATCCCTTGAAAGGCTTGCAGCCCAGACTTGAGAATCGCCCTTGCAAGCTCGGCGTTTGAGTCGATGGCCGCGTCGGCCTTGTCGAGGGTTTCCAGAAAGCTGAACGGAGGCCCCGCCAACATCTGCCACTGCGCCTGTGGAAGCGCATAGAAAGAACGTCTTCTGAGGTGCGTGACATTGAAATGGGCAATTTTGGCATATTGTCTATTTCCAATTAATTAGCTGTTCCTTATCAACCCCTGGCCAATCACGTACGAAAAAGAGTCTAGGGCAGAGAAAATGACCCTTGTTTCTTCCGGGTCGCCAAGATTGTCCTCTACACCCCCCCATACACTCTCTTCTGAAGCCTGAGGTTGCGTTGATGCATTTTGCCCTGTTGGAATGGTCGCCATGCTCTGAGAGCTTGGGCCGGAGCTCTTGGAGCCGACGTCGGGAGTGGGCAATGAGGTGCAGGTGCGGGGTAAGGAGAATAAATCGAAAGTCTGCAACGATGGACCTGATCGACAGCTCGTTCTAACTCTGGGGGAAATCAAAACTGAAATATCTCGAATTTTGGAGGAAAAAGTAAAAAAGCTTGGTCGAGTCGATGGCTTCTGTGTGGGTTGATATCGTGCCATTTTGGGCGATATGATATGGGCTAGCTACAGTGCGAAACCAACCAATCATGTGATCTGTGTGCAACGAGCTTCAGGCCTGAAGCTGCACCATTCACCATCAACATCATCAGCAACAATACCCAAGCAGGAAGTCAAGTTTCCGCGCCTAAAAATGGCCTTAAAAGAGACGCATGTTACCGAAGTGTCGGTACCGCTACCTAAATCGCTGGACACGCGCATCTACATCCGCGTCACGGATCTCGATAAGGCGGTGATGGTATCCCTCACAACAGCATCGCAAGAAGAACTCGGGACTACGACGCCGATGGGCTCTATGGTTTATGCACTTCCTGATGTACGCACAAAAACCCTCAAACTTGGGGGGAAAGGAAACCCATTTTAACTGTCAGCAGAGATTCAACCCCCAACAGCCACTGGCTACCACAATTTTCACAACAGAGGCAACGCTTGAATTCACAACACGAACTGCGAGGATTCTGGCTCGAAAGGCCAACCGGCCCATTTACGTGACAAATTCAATAAGTTTCGTAAATGCTGGCATGGGCGGCACGGTAGAAGAGGAGATGGAGGCGCTGGAGGATGTGATTGAGGTCGTTTCCGGTCAACTGAGGAAAGCGGGCCTTCTCCAGAGCGAAGGAGTCAACGGAGCTTCGTAGCGCGGCACCCGAAGGAGTTGTGCGGTCCAATCCCCGGAGATTTTACCTCTGTGACGTTCCCACGAGCCCTGGAGGCGTCGGATTTCATCATGTGCAAGGCAAACGGACATCTGCGCATAGCTCGAGCCATGCGACCGAGCGTAGAGTCAAGTATGTACGGAAATTGGGACTTGCGGCAAGAAACTGGCCTGCGGAATCTGGACATCTTTGGCATGGCAAGTTGTGGAGAATTGCAATTATCCGAGAGGGTTCATCGAGCGATTCGGATGGCAACCCTTCGATCGTCTGTGCTGGTTGGAGCAGCGATGAAGGGCGCGAGATTGAGGGATGAATCGGTCGGGATCTTGCATGTTTGCTGTGTGTGCCCTCTGCCCTGTTTGTCACACCTGGTTGGGTGAGTCCTGAATTAGCAAAGGCCGAATGGGCCAGTGGCGGCTTCTGGTGTGATGAGATGGCCTACTCATGTATAAAGCTGTTCGGACTGGGGCAGATGATCAACCACTCGACAGCAACCAAATATCAGTAGTGCCACTATCATAGTGATCATGTAGGGCACTGAAAATTGGCAGAGGTCAGTAATCATAACATCAGCGACTGTTCATATTAGCCGTGCGTCCTCAGCAGCAATTAGAATAGTAAAAAACGAGCCTCTAAGGCTGTTTGCCCGTGTTTGTCAGGGCAGAGTGAATCACAGGAAGGGGGGCACCGCTTCAAGCCAAGATTTAGCAGCGATTAAAAAGACTTGCAGCTGCCAACGCATTTTGCGCGAGAGACCGGGGGGTTTATTGTTATCGCATCCCGCTAAGCGCCGCTTCTGTGCCAACTTTCCAATACGACGTGAACTGGTATTACCTGGAACGAAAGGACAGCAATATCTACGCTGTCTGCGTTTCACCAACCGAGAAAAAAACGAGGCAAGTACTTTTCCTTAGCATTACCCGCTTAGAGGTACCTACTTGACTACCCGCACCACGCGGCGCCAACGCCAATTTTTCTTGTGGTGGGGGCTTCTCAGAGAGGGGCCTAAATCCTCGATTCCATGGTTTTGGTCAGGACGACCCTTGGCCAGAACATTACTCCTCTCCCCTCCAGTGGCCGATTGTAACGAGGACCGCTCATTCACCTGTTTCACAGCCCCTTCTCGCCATCTGTCTGGCACCACTGCGATATCTCGAATTGGCTGCATAGGCAAACGAATGTAAGCACACCGCGACAATGCCAAAACTACCTTGCCCGCCTTCAATTTCCCTGGTCCCCCGCCATCACGGACTCGCTGCAGCTGCACTTCTCTACCGCCCGCCTCAGGTGCCTCCTGCGCCCTTGCTTCCGTCTACATGTTCTCAATCTCCCTCATCGAAACCGCCTACTTCTTCTCGTCCTTTGCCACCTGACACAGCCATGCCTGAGGCGTCACTGCTAACCGCCCTGCCCACGATAGATTCTTACGCGCGACGAGATCAATGGTCTAGGCTATATACGAACAACCCTCGTTGTGCCTTTCGCGTTTCCGATCAGCTGCCATGTCTTGGCAGCCTGCCCCCGAGTCCTTGAGGCAGCTTGCCGCGTGCCTCAAGGACTCCCTCAGTGGCTTCGACAAGAATGCGCAGAAACAGGCCGAGCTGGTGAGCAAATGTAGCCCGTCTAGATCTTTCATGCATGAACTAACCTCTGCTTTCCTTCACAGATGCTTAAACAAGCGAAAAGCTCACCTGATATCAACAACTACCTCGCCTACATTCTTTCCAGCCCCGAGCCCCCCGAGGGCGTCGCCTTTTCCCAGTCCGAATATCATCTTGTCCGCTCTGCCGCTGGAATCATGCTCAAGAACAATCTCAAGTCGGACTTTAAGTCCATCCCCGAGTCGAGTCTGCAGCTTATCAAGCTCGCCATACCGATTGCCCTGCAAGACAAGAACACCCAAATCCGCAACTTTGCTGGCAATGTCGCGACCGAGATTGTTCAACGCGGTGGCCTGTTGGGCTGGCCAGAGCTGCTTCCTCAGCTGATTGAGACCTTTGGAAATGTCTCTGGACAAGTTTCGAACGAGGCTCAAGAGGGTGCCATGTCCGCCATGTCCAAGATTTGCGAGGACAACACCCGCCTACTCACGAAGGAAGTCAACGGCCAGCGACCTCTCAACTACGTCCTCCCGCAGCTAATTGCTGCCACCAAGAGCCCCCTCTCTAAGGTCCGAATTGGCGCTCTGACAGCGATCAATGTCTTTACTCCTCGCGAATCGCAAGCCATGAACAACTCCATCGATGATCTTCTCCAGCACCTGTTTACCCTCGCCAACGACGAAAGCGCCGATGTCCGCAGACAGGTCTGTCGCTCTTTTGTCTCACTGGTGGACCGCCGGCCCGAGAAGCTTATCCCACATATGGCTGGCCTGGTGGACTATACTATCCGTCAACAAAGAAGTGAAGATGAGGAACTCTCCTGCGAAGCGGCCGAATTTTGGCTCACCGTCGGTGAGCACGAAGACCTCTGGCAACATCTCCGGCCCTACATCGAACAGATTATCCCTCTCCTTCTCGAGTACATGGTTTACAGCGGTGATGACATTGCTCTTCTCGGCGGCCAGTCCGATGACGAAGACGAGGAGGATAGAGCGGAAGATATCAAGCCAGCATTTGCAAAGAAGAATCTGACTCGCGCGCTCAACGGCGACGGCACCATGACTCCTAACTCTGCCAAGGGCGGGTATGATGCTGTGGCGGGCATGGAGGATGACCTGGAAGACGGCGAGATCGATGATGACGACGACGATGGCGACGAGAATCCCGACCAGCGATGGACGGTCCGCAAGTGCTCTGCAGCGGCGCTTGACGTGTTCGCTAGAAACTTTGGCGCGCCCGTCTTCGAATTTATTCTGCCTTACCTCGAGCGAAACCTCAAGCACGAGGACTGGCCTCAGCGCGAAGCTGCTGTATTGGCACTGGGCGCTGTTGCCGAAGGTTGCGAGAGCGCCATCCTGCCCCATTTACCAATGCTGGTTCCGTATCTGATATCTCTCCTGACGGATCCCGAGCCGGTCATCCGCACCATCACCTGCTGGACTCTGGGCCGCTACTCTGGCTGGGCAGCTGCTCTGCCTGAGTCTCAACGAGATCAGTACTTCCTGCCTTTGATGGATGGTATTTTGCAGAAGATGCTTGATAGAAACAAGAAGGTGCAAGAAGCCGGCGCCTCGGCCTTTGCCAACGTCGAGGAGCGTGCTGGCAAGGCCTTGATTCCTTTTACGGAGCCTATTGTCAAGCAATTTGTCATTTGCTTCCAAAAATACAAGGACCGCAACATGTACATTTTGTATGACTGTGTGCAGACTCTTGCAGAGCAGGTTGGCCCCACGCTTGCTGCACCCCAGATTGCGAAGGGCCTGCTGGATGCCCTCTTGGCACGCTACAGCATCTTGAACGACGAATCTCGCGAAATGTTCCCGCTGCTCGAATGCCTGTCTTACGTCGCCCTTGCTATGGACACGGCATTTGCCCCGTACGCTGGCCCGATCTTCCAGCGCTGCATCAGCATTATCCACAACAACTTGGAGCAATCGCTGGCCTCTGTGACCAACACCGCAATTGATGCTCCGGACAAGGACTTTTTGATTACTAGCTTGGACCTTCTGAGTGCTATTATCCAAGCTCTGAACCCCGAGCAAGCTACACAATTGGTGAGCAGCTCACCACAGCCCCTGTTTGAGCTTCTGAGCTTCTGCATGGAGGATCCTACGGATGAAGTGCGTCAATCAGCTTACGCCCTGCTTGGTGATTGCGCCAAGTTTGTCTTTCCACTTCTGGAGCCACATCTACCCAAACTCCTGCCATTCCTCGTCAAGCAGCTGGACATGGACGAGGTCTTGGACGAGGAAATCGAAACTGGATTTGGAGTCGTTAACAATGCATGCTGGTCGGCTGGCGAAATTGCTGTGCGATACGGTGACGGCATGGCTCCCTTTGTCCGGGATCTAATGACCAAATTTGTGGACATGATGAACAACCCACGAGTGCCCCGTAGTCTTGCAGAGAATGCTGCGACTGCGCTCGGTAGACTTGGGCAAAAGAATGCGCACCTTATGGCTCACGGGCTAGGGAACTTTGCCGGTGCGTACCTCCAAGCGATGGACGACGTTGTTACAATGGACGAGAAGGCGTCGGCGATGAAGGGGTTCACCGCCATTGTTCGGGAGAACCCGCAGGCTATGGAGCCAGTACTTCTCGACTACTTCCGCACTATTGCCAACTACAACATGGATCTGCAGAATCCTTTGAAGCAGGAACTTCATGCTGCTTTCCAAGATGTAAGCTCTCCTAAAAGCGGCGTTACGATGCGATGCGCTAACATTCGTTTAGATTCTCAGCATTTACAAGGCCAATATTCCTCAATTTGACAGATTTATCGGGCAGCTCGATGCCAGTCTTCAGGAAAACCTGAGGACGAGATATAGTCTTTAGTTGAGAGGAGTCACGAACTCGTCGACGAGACGGATAAGGATGGCTGGGATAAGTTAAATGGGATACAATCGATGGAATGACATATGGTATGAGGAAAACATGAAGTCATAATATTGGGCTGATGGAATATGAAATACGGGTAGAACCCCTGGGTTAAAAATATGAATGGGTATGGGAACCAATGAGGAAACAAGGTAACGAGAGCACGAATTGAGGTTACGACAGGGGAGAAGAGGAAGACTCGTTTCTATAGCATGGCTTCAATCGGCCAACAACCAAGTAGATAGTTGACTTTTGCGCTTCGACAGGCCAATGGCCAAGTAGATAGCTGATTTTTGCGTATAAATACATCTTTTGCTCTGCGTATGAGCTTTGCACTTTTATTATTGAGAGCTGGGCTCGGGTGGTAGTTGAGTGTCCGGGGTGTTGATAGGGGTTGAACAGGCAATCGCAATGGCTTGAGTCGCTTGCTACGCAATAGTTATCTCAACTCAAAACTCAAAGAGTCAAAGAGAGCAATTGAGGAAAACCCCCGCGGTCTCTAGAACGGTTTGGCCGACAGACCCCGCAGTTGTCCGGTTGTCTCTGCCAGTTTGACTTGGATAACCGCCCCCTTGCGCGCGACTTGGTTCACGGAATTGAATAGTTTTTCTCAAATACCCGCATCGGAGAGCTCCCGAGCGCCCCAACAGATCTCTCAGCTTCGTCCGTCTCCTATGTCAGCCCATTCTCCACGCCTTCTCTCCCTCCCGCCTTCCCGCCCCGCCGAGCTTGGTCATTCGGGGTGCTTTCATCCGCCAGACCATGCTCGATCCTTCAAGTCTCAGCTCGCCTCCCTTCACATCCATAGCAAGGCAAATACGTTCTCTTTCTTCTCGGGACGCGTCAACGGCCCTCAGAGAGCCACCCACTTTGGCGACATCTCGTGGCCCGCCCTGGCCGGATCTCGGGCATACTCGTCACAGCCCGCCCTGGGCAAGGCGACAAAGGGCCCCCCTCCGGCCCTCCCACCCCCCATGGTGTTCTCGCCATGCATACCGATCTTGTGAAAGTTGAAGAAATTATTTGTAACGAAAACTTCGGGCGATCTGTGACGACTCATAACAGAGCGTTGCCCGGGCCGCCATGGGCTGATACACGGCCCTTTGTGCAGCCGAGTGCCGACATGAACTCCTCTGCTACTTCACCGAAATGACTTTGATGAACACCTTACGCGATCTGTGGCGATGCGTGGCAGAGCATGGGCTAATACACGGCCCTTTGTGTAGCCGAGCTTCGACATGAACTTTCTCGGCCACCGTCATGAAAGAGAACCGATGCTGCTTTGGCGGCATGATTGGTGGAACAACACATTTGATTTACGACGTTATGAAGGTCAGGTCAGTGAAACTGCACTACTGCCGTGGACGACGTCGACACGGCATCGGCGGATTGTCCGAGAGCAGGTACAGCGAGTGCGCGCCGGGCCATCCGGGGAGTCTCGCAGCAAGGTCAAACAAGTGCGCCCCGGCGCGGTGCGTCCCGATGCAATCCTGCCACCATTCTGGTCTCTGAGTCCGTCCTTTCGAGCGCTGAACACTTGCTTCGGGGGTCACGGCATATTCGGGCCAGCCTCTTCATAACGCGCGGCGTCGTGAAACAATGGGCGGTGCGCGTAACACGCAGACGGACGGTTCCTTCTTTCTAGGCTGCTGTGTATTGTGTGTGAAGTTTACACCGCTCTTTGCGCCTCAAACTCCGTGGAGGAGCTGAAGATAGTGAGAGGGAGCTTGAGTTGGAATGGCCGCATGGGACGAGGCAGTTTGTGCGACCCCATCGCCATGCGGCCGTGCGGCCGTGGGGTGGGGAGTGAACCATTTGACGTGTTACGAGCGTATTATTTCCTACTACTGTCTCGTCTAGCAATGTCTGGCACTTCTCACACCATTCTAGAAAGTATGGACTTGTGGAAATTGCCAGCACTCCGTGTGCGAGGTGGTGCAAGGAAGCCTCTTTCCAAGTCGCACAAGTAGGTGATGTTCATGGGGATGACACATGGCATCTCCGCCGTGATGATGCTAAATTTTCCCGACGAGAAAAAGGGTGAGCGACAGTGTTTAATGCTACGTGCTATTAAAAAATCACACTCTCATGTAATCTTCAAGCCTTGACAAGAAATGATGCGGTCAAACTACCTACCCTGGAGTAGTTCCCATGTCCCCACCTGGGCCGGCTATCGGGACCCTCTGTCGGGGGAATTTGACCCGAGAAGCTCTCTATGGCCAAGACAAAAAAAGCATAGGGCTCCAAAAACCAGAGGGGCAAAAAAAAAGGGCGAAAAGTAAGCCGTGAGGAAAAAGCCCAGCCTTGTTCCAGTTGACTGCAGAATAAGGTTCGAGGTTAGAGGACATCGTTGGCGATGGGAGCAAAAATAGAAACACCTTGCAGGCAAAAATCGGGCCGGTTGGGGCGACGCCACTCAGCTGGGAGACGCATAAGGCTGGGAGGATAGACGATCTGTAGCTAGGTAGGTAACTAGTTGGACGTGAGCAAATTGATTAAAAATGATCTGACTTGCTCATTCGTCCTGTCGGCTCCGAGGCGAAAAGAGGCAAGCTTTGATTTCCTTAGGGCCGTTCAGCCGCAACAAGTCCACAGCAACAACGTACGACTGACTTGATCGGGCATGTCATGCGTCGTTTGGTCTGCTGAACGGGATTTTATTCCTGGCGCATGCTTAGGCCTCGATATTCCAGCTACGATGTGAGATGTATAACTAAAATTTCCCTTTCCCATGGTTACTGTGAACTTTGGCAATGACGTACCAGTCGAAGGCATAACGTGGGGACAACTCGGGTATTTCGAAGGGTTCTGAGGACGAGGTCTCTTGCTGGAAAGCAACTGAATTATACGGAGGGAATTATATGGAGGGAATTTGCGAGAATTGCAATTCCAACGGGCCGCTCATAAGCCTCCAAGCTTACACGTAGGACTGACAGCACGGCCCGTCCACGCGAGGAGCCCGTCGATCATCCGATGGCGGTAAGGTTGGTGAATGCCGGGCTTGTATACACACTCGCATAACAGTAGCAGCAACAACTCGTACAGGTTTCTATTTTCAGAAGAACTCGGACTGGCTGACTGGCTTTGTTGGCTTGCTGGGCGTGACGGTTGGGCGTGGCCAACCACCGTCCCTCGACAGCGTTTCCCGTTCCCGAGGTCCAACTAATTTTCTGCAGGCCCTTGTCTGCGACGGGGCTGGAGAACCAAGGGTCTACTTTCCTCTCGCGGTAAATCCTTTGCGGCCCAAAATCTCTTACCGACTACTCCGGACAGGATGTCGCTGGGGAACGTGGAATGGAATCCTCCTCGGGCTGGCTAGCTCCATGCAAGACCTATTCACACCGTTCACTACGCTGCCATCTCCAACTCTAATAAGAAGAGAAAAAACACTGACGCCGCGGAGAAGGAGAAGGGCATCATGCACATATGCATTGGCAGATGGGGAAGGGAAGGGGGGGGGGGAGGAGGACAAGTATGCTAAATATAGCCCAGCCCCCGGCCCTAGCGTCTTAGTGGTTCGCTTCACCCGTGGTGCAATGCAAGCCACCATAGTAATCCGCATGTCCTTGCCAGCAGATGCCGGGCCTAACAAAAAAGGAAAAAAAAAAAAGGGATGGGAAAAATACGGTCAACGATAATGTTCCATCGGGGCGTATCATCTGGTGTGTGTGTGTATCATGTACGTACGGTGCGAGCGATGATATCTGATCGTGGTTTATGATACACCGTTCGTTCAGCGAGATTCTGGTAATGCAGAGTCAAAAAAAAAAGTCGCCCCGCTGCTTTGCTATTCTTAGATGCCGACTTCTTGACGTGGCAGTTAACCTATCGTCTGATATTAGTCTGACATGTCTTTTCCGCATTTCCATCTGCCTCTGCAGAACATCACAAGCTCATAAGCTCCCGTACGGCCATTATCAAGGCCAATTGCAGGCATACATGGCATCGCATGAAGTGCCGCAAAAGACCACTGCTTGCTTGGCAACAGCTTGTCGGCGATAACTCCCGACATGAAAAAGCAGCAAGAACATACATGGCGCATCACCAATTGCTCCCCTTGTAGCATTCTATTTCTGCACAATGAACTCATCCCGGGATCGAGTACGACGACGACAAACATACCCTACACTCATCTTATGAGGGGGGGGGGGGCTTGTTGTCCTTGCTGGCCACGCAGTGGCGTTCAATAGTCTCATTCCCCCGTGCGACCCCAAGATGAACATGATGTCTGAGTAGTCGACACAAAGAAACAAAAGAGGCTGGAAGTGGGATGATGTTTTTTTCTTCGCACGTTCAGACCTTCCTTGGTCAACGGCCCTTTTACCGGGGTACCCACCGCACAGTCTGGTTAAAAAAAAAAGCGACACCAAAGTACAATAGTCCCAAGATGAGGAGATTTGGCGGGCAAGCCGGTACAGATGTCAAGCGTTGCCACCATCGCGCCACACCCAACGAAACCGCTTCGCACAGAAATCCCCATCCGGGGCTTTTCTTTGTTTTTTTTTTGCCTGATGACTGAACACCGTCCATCTCCGCACAGCGTTTTGACTTGCCACTGTTACCCACTTGCCATGTGCCGGACGGGACACCCATGACGGAGATCACGATGAGAGAGGGAGAGGTATGCATGTACATCCCTTCTCCCTCTGTACTTGACGTGGGTGATCTCAAGCCGCGGGTTTGGGCCCGGGTTCGATAGAGCTTTTGTCGATCGCTCCTGTCTTTTTTACAGCTCCGACCGACCTCTTGGATGTGAAGATCAGCCTGAGCCAAAAAAAAAAAAAAAGAAAAAAAGAAAAAGAACCCTTTGTCATTCCATTGTCGTCAAATCAAGTCATGTGCGTGCGTAGAAGCATCGCCGTCTTCGGCTTACTCTGCAGAGCAGGTGGTGGTGGTGGTGGTGGTATGACCAGCAGCAGCTTGGACGATGAAACGTTCCATTACGCCGCCACCACCGC